TTCTTTTTGATGAGAAGGCGTCCTAGGAGCAGGAAAGGTACCAGTAGGTAGCCTGACGGGAAGCTTTACTTATAGGCAAAAAAGTGGTTTTGCCTTTACCGGTTGGTGTAGGCGTTATATTCACGCGTACTCGATAATTTACATTGCGGTGTGTAAGGTTGGTTTTTGCGTGCACGGTACTTCCTGGTGATAGTAGAATTTCCTCATTCCTTTCTCTCTCATGCATAATATTGGCCTCCACCCCGTCACTATAAATTATTATACATCACCACTGCTGAATGCAGTTGAAACGTCTGGTGTTATGTGATTATTACATTTGACTAGAGTGTTGTGAAAAGTTGCTTTAATCTACGAAACTGCTCTAAAACACTGCAGCAGCCATTCCACACAGTCCTTGCCGCTCCACTGCAGCAATGTTCCGGCGTATTAGCTGTCAAAAGGTACTTTATGGTCAGTTGCGTCCATTACCACTGCAGGCGCTCGTTGCCGTTCTACTGCTGGTTTCTGGTGGAGCAAGTCAAATGTTTAACCAAAACTGCACTGAAGACATGACCGCCTGCTCCTGCCCAAAGAATGACAAAGTCTGCTACTTTGAATTTTCTGTGGAGCGACTCATCACTTTTACCCGCTACGTCCTCGGCGCGCCCCTGGGAACAGCTGGAAAATCTTATTTCATCAACGACTCTGGAGAACTGGAACATATTCCTCTTCCCCCTGACTCAACAGGATGCAGCGACACTAACTGCACTCAAGCTAACACTGCCGACGGCGTAACGTACCGCACTTTTATTGGAATCAACGGAAGGCTGCCTGGACCAACGCTTGTCGTGTATGAAGGCCAGACAGTGGTAGTGAACGTGATTAACACACTCGTCACAGAGCCTATAACCATACACTGGCACGGTCTCGACCAATTCAACACCCCCTGGATGGACGGTGCGGAAATAATAACGCAGTGTCCGATAGCGCCCGGGACAAGCTTCAGATACATCTTCAAGGCCAGTCAGGCGGGGACCTTCTGGTACCATTCACACAGCGGCTTCCAACGGGGGGATGGGTTGGCAGGGGGACTCGTCGTAAAGGACAGTTCTGACCCTGAATACCATATATTACTTTTACAGATATTCCTGAGGAACACACAGTCACTTTGCTGGACTGGCAAAGACAAATAGGCACAGCGTGGTTCTGGAAGGGGCTGTCCAGACTGAGAAGATTCTCTCCATTGAATGAGCCATTTGACTCTGTTCCAGTAAACGAAAGTAGTTTCATATCAACACCAGGAGTTGACAACTCTGGCATAGGAATAATTCCATTCTGGTCAGTTCTGATAAATGGCATGGGGAAGCATTCTGACTTGGACTTCAAGAACTCACGACTCAAAAGTGTTTTCAGTAGAAGATGGACAGATTTACCGATTTAGATTAATAGGAATGATGGGTGTGTATGCCCTTCGTTTCTCGATCGACGCCCACCGACTGACAGTGATAGCTACAGACGGTAACTACATACAGCCAGTGGAGACAGACTACGTCATTCTCCATTCTGGTGAGAGGTACGATGTGCTCGTAACTGCCAACCAGACTGGTCAGAGTGACTTCTGGATCAGAGCAGAGACACTGGAGGTTAACACATCTTCCGAACTGCCACCATACGAGCCCCTACCTGGTCACGAGGGACTTGCAGTTCTTCATTACCGTGAAAGAGGCACCAATTCCTGTGGGCCCAGAGTATGCAAACATCATGGGTGTTCCAAAAAATTGCAGTGAAGCATATGAGTGTACAGCAGTAAACTGCCCTTTTATGATGTACCAATCCTCCTACCATATAAAATGCATCAACGTCCATGAACTAAAGTTGCAGTTTCCCTTTCCTCCGGACCTTCTTCCTTCAGCAGAACATGATGTACAGTATGTCCTCAACTTTGCATTTGAGGGCACTCGGACAATTTCCTCCATCAATGCCAGGGCGTTTCTTCTTCCCATTATATCACCTCAGATTTTCCCAGACAAAATAGACGCTGCCAGTGTTTGCGATCCAAGTGATACATGTGAAGACGGCTGTTTGTGCACAAATATTCTCAACATTCCCTATAACAAGACTGTCAGACTTGTGCTGAGCTCTGGTGGACTGAGTAGGAACCAAAGACGGTTCTCTCACCCTATACATCTCCATGGACATGATTTCCAGGTAGTGGCTGTTGGGTATGGTACATACAATGACACAACAGGACATGTCATTCAACCAACAGGAGATATAATATGTGCACCAGGTAGTACTAAAAGCGTGTGTATTAACCCTTCCTGGAGTGATATTGCCCCAAGTTTACCACCAGTGAACGAGTACACCATTGCAAAGGACACTGTTATCCTCCCAGCTCTTGGCTACGTAGTGATAGATTTCCGGTCTACTAACCCAGGATGGTGGTTCTTGCACTGCCATATGTGGCCCCATGTAGCAGAGGGGATGGCCCTGGTAATTAACGAGGCCCAGGAGAGATCACCTCCACCGCCGAAAGGTATATGCGACCGTGGAAACTTCACATGGACAGTGGAAGAATTTAACGAGGCTCTCAATTATACGTACACACCACCGTCACCAATGCCTTCGACATCAACAACTATAGCACCAACAACGATGCCAACACAATCAACTGGATCTACTGCAGCACTCTCTCGAGCCAACGAGGAATGCGACATGCTAAAAGATGCCTTTGCGGGAGTGGCTACGGTACTGATACTGTTCCTAATAGTCTCTGTCATTCTCCAGTCTGTAGTCATTGTCATTCTGACTCGGAAGAACGCATGTAGAAAACCAAAAAACAATGAAGAAAAACTACAAGTTACTACAGTTACAAATGTGAGTTTTTCTGTACAAAAATGCTCGTTCTATAATTATAATCATGCAGTGCGTGCAATTCAATTCAAGTTGTGTTTTATAGGAAATCCAAACAACTATATAGGTATGAAGGAGCTTATGGTAACTGGTGTTAATGTTTTGTTTCACAGACTGAAGTTGAAGTAATGCAAACGGAAGAAGTTGCAGAGTTGTAAACAAGTCCATTGAACTTTTAGTTAGTGAACTTTTATGGTAGCTACAAATCTGCAGCTATTAACTTTGTGTAGTTATAGAGTGCTTTTAGAGGGTTCCAACCACATTTTAAATGTCATGGCTAGAATATTATAATATTATAGAGAAATACTTATTTTTTAGTTTCAGGCCAACGGCAATTTGATATATACCTATATAATTATAGTAGATACTTAACCTGCCACGGATACGTGTTGGCAGCCTCCATAAGTCCATAAGAATTTATATGGTAGTTATAGTACTAGGCGCTAAAATTTTATAGCTACATGCTTATTAAAGCAGATACATGTATATACCCATGGCGCCCAAAGAGTTAAAACCATGGTCTAGCTTTAATGCAAATGTTTCGTAAACTCACACACACTGGTTTTCATCCCAGGGAGAATTTTGTTCCTCAAACCGACCATAAGAATTTATATGGGGGTTATAGTATTAGGAACAGTATTAGGAACAGAATTTTGTCTTCAAACCGACCAATGCCTGGATTTGGCGTAGCTACATGGTAACATACTATAATATATGCTGCAAGGCCAATAGAAAAGTGGAAAGAATCTAGCAGTATTATTTTGCGACACACCCATTGCGGTACAGCCACCACAAGCGTTTTCCGGTTCTTTGCTCGCTGTTTTCAGGATGCATGCTGCAATGTTCAGCTAGTGTGAGTGATGCTTTTTCCTTCACACAGTTCATTGTCTTCCACCTATATACTCCCCAAAATTGTTGAAAAATCAAATAGGTTGGCTCTCTCCCACATGTCATACCATTGAGCATCTGATGACGGTGGACAGCATTGACAGAGTCAAAATGATGGAACATCACTGTCAAAGACAGCTGAAATCCAAAGCATTACACTGAGCATTCTGTAATCTAACTATAGGGGTTAGGGATCAAAGCATGTGTTTGGCTCTCTCCCACTTGTCATACCATTGAGCATCTGATGACAGTGGACAGCATGGACAGAGTCAAAATGATGAACATCACTGTCAAGGACAGCTGAAATCCAAAGCATTACACTGAGCATTTTGTAATCTGGGATTAGGGATCAAAGCATGTGTGGCTTAGTGAGTTGCTGAACTTCAACAAATACTAGTGATACAATAGCAATGCATTTTGGTGAGCAGGAGCTAGCCCAACTGCTGCATGTCCCAGCGTATGTAGCTAGACCTTGTCAATAATTACCTGCACCCTTTCTTGTATTGATCCCTAATCCCTAGTTAGGTAATAATGCTCAGTGTAATCGCATAGCTACCCTTTGGCTAGGTATGATTATCATGGCGTATAGGTGGTGACAACTTACGGACCCCATTTTAAATTCCAACCTTCTACACATCACATAGTTATTTCAGGTCACCAACCACACAGAGGCTGCTCGCCAACTATAATTATACAGGTGTGTAGGGATGCACAAACACACAGTGGGAGTCTGGCTTTTAGAACAAACCAAACACTTGTAGCTATCTAGGCACTCACAGTCACAACTGGAGATATTGGATTTCGCCATGCCAAATTACGTAATAGCAGAGGCAATTACGCCTCCTAGCGTGCGTGCATGCGGCTCCGCTCATTGGTCGGCCCGCAGTGGTTGAGCGCGCGTGGTTACTCACGGGGTCATGTACGTACCGCATTGACCCCATGCTACAGTCACTGGTACTCACTGTGTAGTTTCATTGCTGTATTTTTTCCGAACCGATCAGTTCCTGATATAACAGCAACCGTATTCCTCAACAGCACCTTTCAGTGCATCGACACAGGGTATGGTTGTGGTAACGTTTGGCAGAAGGGCCGGGCAATTGGTTGTTACTCCGTCAAGCCACCATCGGAAGCCGTTATTTCAGAAATCTCAGACAAGGGTCTGACATTTTCTTTTGCTCGGGTTGCCTGTAATTTCAGAATGGCATCTGAAATTGCATACCTTCCACTACAAGCAGGACTAACTAATAGCTCAGACAAACATCCAAACTTTCAGTTAGGTTAGGTAGGTTTACATGCATGCATCTGAAATTTCATCCAGGTTTGTCAGAAATTCAGACATGCATCTAGGGATTGACACAAGTGTCTGCATGAAATTTCATCTAAGGGTGCCATAATTATTTTGAGACAGGCATGCATCTAGGGATTCACACAAGCGCATGAAGTTTCATCTGGTAGTGTCTGAAATTTCAGACAGCCATCTACTCTGAAGTTTCATAAGCTTCCCCCTAATATTTAGGGCTAAGGGGTATCAAATTTCAGATGGGCACTGACTGCATCTGAAAATCTTATTTTAAAGCACTCCCAAGTCACGCACACACCCTGTAGCTACCCCTACGACTGCACGATCAACAAAAGCCTTCATATTACCCCTCCCTGGAAGAGAGTCTAATTTATATTTCAGCAGAACTGCAATAATAGTGATCGACCTAGTTAACGAAGACTCAGGAGTTGCCAAGGCCCTCTCTATTGATGTGCATGATGTTGGCTGCCGTTAAACTGAAGCTAGACTCATTGCGACTACCTAGCTATCACACAACCACCTCCAGTGGCGTATTCAGAACATTGGCGAGTGAACGCTTAGCACCACGGCATCATAGTGCGTTGCATTCGTTCTAGTATTGCGGTATATATGCTTTCCCGGAAACAGCGCAGCTACTTTGGAGGTGTCTCAATTGAGATTTCACCCATGTTGGTAGTGCAACTATATTCATGTCTCTGTAATTTATATCTTTCAGGTGAATGGTGAGACAAGCTGAAAGGATGATGGTAGAGTCACAGCAAATGCCTGTGGCTCATGTTCCTACACAGATTTTCAAAAACTTTGCTTTGGACTCCCCCTACCTTACACATCACATAGCTAATTTCATAGTAATTAACCCTCGGCGCGCATGTGCAGCGAGGGTTACAGTACTTGGGGTCCGTGTGTCCGTGTGTCTGTCTGTTACTCTACATCTCACCTCTCGAATGTCTGTTCGTCTCAGAAACGATACCATCTACCCAACGGGCGACGAAGGTCAGAAAATATGTGGGGTTTTCTCTGAAACTGCTCCGTTGCAGAGCTAGAGCGCGGAAAAGCCAATATGCAAATACACAACGGACGGGAAGGCTTACCACGGTCTGATCGATCCGCGTGCTCTGCGTACCTCGGAGGCACCAGAAGATGCAACGCAGGGCGTGTATCGCCTCTCGCATGCTATCCAGTAGTGTAGTTAGCCCGCGTCAGACTCTGCGCGAGCTGGCAAGAGACCACGAGTAACAGCTAAAACTAAACCCAGCCCATCAATTAGTGGTACGGCGCATGCGTTTACTTACGCGTGCGCGTCACAATGCGCCGAGGGTTTGCACTTCAGTGCTTTTCATTATTATAATAAACTGGTTATAGTGTATTATTATTATACAGAACAGCATGACAAATTGTAAATACATCATGGGTGCTTCCAAGATTATCTCAGATCAAAGTTTATACTCTAAGTAGATAGTTTGAGCCAGTGTGCTCATTGGTCTGGCTAAAGTACCGCAACATAACCGCAACATAACCACACCATAAGGCTGAAGTCTGTATGCAATAGCTATCCAACTGGGGATTGAATGCATGTGTGGTGTGGCTATGTTGCCAATGTAGTTGCTGACCTACAATAGCTATGTGATGTGTTGGAGCTAATTGCGAAGTGGTGTCAGCTTCATATCTACTACGTACATTGGCAACATAGCCACACCACCCACGTATTCAATCCCCATAGCAAAAGATCAGCTAAAATGAAAGATTATCAAGCCACTCCAAACATTTTTATGAAACATAATTATGCACAAACTCAGAAGACAAAATGATTTACTCAGTGCTCTTTCATGCACTGGATGTGAGGAGCTATGTCTAAACCGTGATTGTTACTGGTTGCCGACCATAAATAGGGAAATACGATCAGATAAAGATAATGGTTTACATGTAGTAGCTATATGTGTCTTACAACCCATTGTTCTTTTTCATGTTTTTAACCATCCATATATCCCCGTTCATTTTGATGTAGTGAAATAATAGATTGCAGACGGACAAACACACACAAAGTACTGTAACCCAGTTGCGTAATGCTATCCTCATTTTATAGTATGCAGCAGCAATGGCACGACTTATCCTTAGTATCCCCAACCAGCTGATGAAAGTTTGTGAACAATGGCGCATTGAGGGTGAAAACCCACACAGGCTATCTAAAACTGGTGCATTGAGGGTTGGGGCGTTGAAAGGCCTTTCTTGACTGTCTAAAGCTAGTGCATACAGACGCAAGACACAGATGCCCACAGTTGGGTACACTACATGAATGAACAAAAGTCTGACACGGGCATGCGGGAGTCGATACATGCTCTTCGCTGTGGCTTCTTGTGCCTCCAAGGTACACAGAGCAAGTGGATCAGGTCGAGGTGAGCCTGCATTGATCGCGTCCAATATACGCATGCGCACCGCTTATTGATGGGTTGGGCCACGCAACGCTGTCTGCGACCGTGCCAGTTTGTCGCTGTCGAACGCAGTCGTTTCAGCAAAATCGCCATTTTAATTTTCTAGCCCATGTACCGCAAGCTGTTCTTATCGCTCATAAGCCGCCTCATAGCTTGTAGTGCGAGAATAGTCGTAGACACACACACACGACACAGAACGACTACCGTAATCCTCGCTGCGCATGCGCGCCGAGGGTTAATAAATACTGTATGGACATGTGCTATGGAGCAAACCTAGGGCTCAGTGTGCAGCTGTGGTAAAACAAAGAGAGAATGTATATTAAATCTGCAAGTACAGCAGTATCATTTTTTGTACCATAGAGCGATTCCATTTCTTCCCCAGCTCGAATAGAACAATATCTCTCCCTCGCACCTCGAAGTGCCGTCTTTAGCCGGGGGAGGGGGCATAAGCGTTTTGTACGCGGATCACGTGAGATTTGACCCGTGTCATCCCTACATAGAGCGTCTACCGACGCTCTGATTAGTACTCTTGGATTTGTTTGCTTTGGTATGATGACATTGGCATCATGCAAATATCTCTGTAAGAATGGTAGCGAGTAACACAACAAAATTTAGTGGTTACAAACAGCAAAATTTTCTGCTTCTACTGCATCTATTATCTACTCCTATAGCTACCTTTCTAGTTCCTTAGTGATTGTAAGATGGGAATATAATCCGTAAACTATTCAGCTTCTCATAGTATGGCAGTGCATTCTTTACAGCACTCTGAAATTCAGGCAGTAGGTCAGCACTTGACTTCGTCTGCTTTTCCGTATGCTTCACAAATCCAGTGCTAGCCATCACTTTATTATGCCAAACCTCATACATTGGGTATTGCTTCCAGTCGTCGAAAACGTTAGGTTCCCACTTAAGCATTTTCTCCGAAAATGGAAGCCCTACACTCTTACAGTACCCTTCCATCATGTCCCTGTAATAATTAAACAAGAGTTGAGGTAAGACAAGTCACACAGCAATGAAAATCTCTTAATGATTTTACATTGATGTACAGATTGTGCAAGACATGAGTAGCTACCAGTTGCAACTGGCCAACTTCAACCAACCAGGGACACCACACACTTCAGTTGATTTCTATGTGAATGTACAGGACATATTACATCTTTTCCACACCTATTTTGTTCTAACCGCTTGTCTCTTCCTCAATATCACTAACTAATCCAAAAAGATCCCTGAGTTATGGCTTACAAGACATAAGCATACAGGCCAGAAGTAGAAATAGGCACTTATGGGCAAAGGCGGCAGGCACTGAAAGGCAATAGTCTTGGGCAAAGGTAGCATCTACACAAATGTTCTACGGCCAACGGTACGCTCAGAGAGCTGGTGCTCTAGGGGTCAATTTTTTAACCTAACTGCCAGCCGTGGAACTCAGTAATCGAACTGGACAGGAACAGTCAATGTTTAAAAACCGACAGCAACTTTAGAAAAGACTGCTGGCTCTTCTAGCTGCATGTTCGAGCCCAAGCCAGACCGGCAAGGAAGATAGCAGGCCCTCCAGCAAACAACTGTACTACAGGAGGGGAACTGTGATGGTGAACGGCGGTAGACTCTCCTGCACGCATGCGTAATTCTTCCCAAATCGACACACCCCTTTCATCCCGCACTGTGGCATTCTTCCTCCCATTTTACAGACCTACGCACAGCCTCTGTGTCTGCCTTTCATCCTGCTGAGACATTTATGACATATCTCACTCAATCCGGACCTTTTTGCTTTTTTAGTCTTGAAAGGGTAGAGAAAGCAACATCAAAGCTCCGACAGCCACATCAAAGTGCCGACTGACCACTTCTGGGATGCGTGGGCGGTTTTTACGACGCCATGCTGCCCGCCTACCTTCACAATTGTGCGAGTTTTGTTGGCCTTTCTAGAAGTGTGTAAATTTGCAACATTTTGTGACTGAAAGGGATAAGGGATGCTCTTCGCAGGATAGTAAGGAATCTACTTTTGCAGTGCAACAACTAATTGCACAGTTGAGCTTAGCACAATGACCACAAGTTAGAAATACTACATTCAAGAGCGCAGAGCTACACTTCAGCCAATTGCTCACCCTTTCCCACCAGCTATGTCTAATTGTGTATCAATGAGAAATGCATAAGAAAACCTCTCGGTACAGTAGAAACATTGAACCCATACTCATGAAGTACCGCTTATTGATGGGCTCGGTTTCCCACTAGTTTTATAGCTAGCGGTCGCGGACAGTCTGACACATACTACCTACAGTAGTAGATAGCATGAGGGACTCAATACACACTCTTCATTTTGACTTCTTGTCTGCAATTGTGCATAATTTGCTGGTTTTTTAGTTGTTGTCATATACCATGTTTAACATAAGAATTTCATGAAAATCACCAAATTTAAAATCAAGCCAGTGTACCGTTCAACTCGTAGGTAGCTAGCTAGTACTTTTTGCCAAGCTGGTCGTCCATGGTGGCAGAAAACATGGTAACAGACAGACATACTTACACATTATACAAACCAAGAACTGTAACCCTATCTATTTATTTTATAACTATGTGTAAGGGAGGTTGGGACACTGGGTGTGTAGGGAGAGTTGGGCCCATAAAAGACTCTTTAACCTACCGCCCCGGTTCTCAAGGCTGGGCACCCAGGGTCCTGCCTCTTCTTTCTGTTTATATGTTATGTCTGTGTTTTTGTACGCTTGGGTATGTTACTGTCTGTGTTTTGTGTGCTTGGGTGGGGGAGGTTCTTTCTTTTCCTCTGAGCTAGTATGCTATAAACATGTTTTTTCATGAGTTGAGGGTTAGCAAGGCAGACAAGGTAACTGGGCGAGACAGGCATAACCCTTTCCCTACATCTTTGTCCCACTTGTGGAAGATAATTGTAGTACAGGGATTGTGTTTTGAATGACTACACTGTTAAAACTAGTAGGCGAATGCATGGAATTTTTGGCGAGCGAAGCGAGCTTACAAATGGGGTCTAATAGTATGAGTCACTCTTGTGTGTGCACAAAACAGTGAGATAGGACCAAGTAGGCCGAAACAACCTTTTAGACCCGAGCGCAGTAGACACAAATTATCAGGGGTGGAGCCTACTGAGGGGTGGGCGACGTATATACCGACGACGTACGGTGACATGCGCAGTTCGGCAACGCTCGACAACGTACGGTGACATAATTAACCCGGCGGCGCGTGCGCAGCGAGGGTTACAGTACTTGGTTTGTCCGTCTGTCTGTCCGTCTGTCCGTCTGTTACCACGTTTTCTGCCACCACGCGCAACAAACAGGTAAAATAGCGACACCAACGGGTTCACGCTACACTGGCTTGATTCGTAAAAGTGCCGCGTTCAGAAGTTATGGCGTGAAAAAACCAAGTGAACAAGCCAATATGCTAATTAGCACTAGCTTACCTCGACCTGATCCGCTTTATCTGTGTACCTCGGAGGCACAAGAAGCACAACGAAGGGCCTCCCGCATGCTAATCTACTACTGTAGCTAGCCCGTGTCAGACTCTCCGCGAGCTACTAGCGGGAGTAAACGTATACTAGTATAATAGGCCCAGCCCATCAATTAGCGGTACCGCGCATGCGCAGTTCGCCGAGGGTTTGCACTTTAGTGCTTGTCATTAACCCTCAGCGCGCATGCGCAGCGAGGGTTAGACTACTTGGGTCTGTCTGTGTGTGTGTCTGTCTGTCTGTTACTCTCAATCGCATCTCGATGTCTGTTCGTCTGGCACACGATACGACCTACCTACGGGCAAGCAATGAAGGTCAGAAATTTCGAACGGTTTTCTCTCTGAAAATGCTTCGCTTGCAAAGCTAGAGCGCTTAGAGCGCTCCGCATTGTACGCTAATGCTTAGTCGGCATTTTAATCGCTGTGCGGAAAAGGCGCATGCGCTTATATTTCACAGGCTCAGGTGCCGCTTGCTCTGTGGTATCTTGAAGGCACGAGACAGTCACACTAGGGCAAGTGTATCGACTCCCACATGCTATAGATAAGTTGTGGTATGCTCTGCTGATGAGGACCAACCGCTGAACACAGCTGTCCAGAGCTCCGCATCTGTCTTGCTCTTGGATCACATGTGATATTGTCATGCATATCTACTACTTGTAGCTAGCCCCGTGTCAGACGCTACTAGCGGGAGTATACTACATACATATAGCAGCCGCGCCCTCAATTAGCGTGCCCAGTTCGCCGAGGGTTGCACTTTAGTGCTTTCATTGGTTTTGTCTGTCTGTCTGTGTGTCTGTCTGTCTGTACGTCCTTCATCACCCTTCTCGAGTGTTCTTTCGTCTCACAAAGGATACCACCTACCGAACGGGCAATGAAGGTCTCAGAGCAAATGGGCAATGACAACTAGGAAAAGGGGACAACATTTAAGGATGGCAGGGAGTAAAACAAAAGAGGATTTGATAGAAAAAAAGGAAATAATAGGGACCTGTGGCCATACCATATAAACCAATTAGACAAACAAAGTAGCTCGGACAAGGAAATATCCCGAAAACAGCAACTTAAAGAGCATAATACGCATATAACTATAGAAAGTAGAAAAAGCAAGGGAGATTAGGAACTTAAATGAAGAACGGAAAAGTACAAGACGGAAGAAGGAGGGTAATAAAGGCCACGCAACAAAACACGAGGAGAAAAGATTTTAGAAAAGAGGAGAAAGAAGGAAAAAAGCCAGAATTCAATTACCGTATGAAAACAGAAGGCACAAGGAAAGGAAAACCGGAACAACCTACTACACAAAGGGACACAGGGAAAGTAACTCAAGCAAAAACTCATAGGACTAAAAAAAAACAATAAAATACCAGAAAAAAAAAAGAGGACAAAAAGGGAAAAACAGAAATAAATAAAGAAGGGCGCAAGACGAAAGAGAATGAAAAAAAGTAAGAAGAGAAAGGGAAGAAAAAAACCCAATAGCGAATCAGAAAAAAGAAAAAGGGATAATCAAAAGCCACAAAAAAAAAAAAAAAAAACAAAAAAGCAAAAAAAAAAAGCGAAAAGAAAGGAAAAGCCGGACAAAAGGCAAGAGGGCGCAAAAAAAAGCAGAATAGAAATGAAGAAACAAAAAAAAAAAAAGTGCGAAAAAATGAATTTAACAACCTAACAAAAAAAAAAAAATAAAAAAATAAAACTAAAAAAAAAAAAAAAAAAATAAAAAAAAAAAAAAATAAAAAAAAAACATAATAAAATTTCGAACGGTTTTCTCTGAAAACGCTCCGTTGCAAAGCTAGAACGCTTCCACCATTGTACGGCTAATGCGTAGTCGGCCATTTTATCGCTGCGGAAAATGCGCATGCGCTTATATTTAGCACAGGACCGGGTCGGCTTGCTCTGTGTATTTTGAAGGCACAAGAAGTAACAACGAAGGGCGTGTATCGACTCTCGCATGCTAATCTACTACTGTAGCTAGCCCGTGTCAGACTCTCTGCGAGCTATATACTAGCGGGAGACCGCGAGTAAACGCATACTAATATACCGCGCATACGCAGTTCGCCGAGTGTTTGCACTTCAGTGCTTTTTATTATACTAGTAGGCGAATGCATGGCATTTTTGGCGAGCGGGAGCGAGTACACAATGACTCATCTGCACGAGCCATCCTACAACTTGAACCTTAGAATCACGAAGATTGGAAGGAGGTATAGACAGCCTCGGTCAGGTATCGAAGAGCGCAGCGAATGGCAGCAAATAGACGAGAGTTGTTTGGCTGGCTATATTTGCCATCTATATCACAGCTAGGTAGCGTGTAAAAATTTGCGCGTTCCCTATCACGAAAGCGACGCTGATACAAACGAGCCTCTCTGCTCAGGAGTCTCACGGGCACGATGTTCTCTTTCCCACTCTCTTCGACCACGAAGGGCATCTTCCCCGGACTATAATAATTATGCACAAGTATACGCACGACATCATCACAGGCCTGGCAGCACGTGAAATTTTGAAATCCTTTCGGGTAAAAAGAAGCGCGTAATCCTGGAGCATGCGCAGTTGGACGACGTACGGTCGAATCCGCGCCGTTCGTACCACTAGGTTAGCTCGCTCCCGCTCGCCAATTACTAGTAGCCGAATGCATGGCATTTTTGCCGAGCGAAAGCGAGCTTACAAATGGGGTCTAATCGTATGAGTCAGTCTTGTGTGTGCACAAAACAGTGAGATACACTGCACAGGACCAAGTAGGCCGAAACAACCTTTTAGACCCGAGCGCAGTAGTCGAGTCAAAAACAGTCAGACGACAGCGCGAATCAGGCATAATCCGGCAATCTCTCGCTGGACTGTGCAGCAATTCTCGATAGCTTCGTAGGTGTTCGAGCCTGTCGTGTTGCGTTTCCCCTGATTCCGCTCAGCATATGAAAATGTTTAAATCCCTTTCGGATAAAAAGAAGCGCGTAATGCTGGAGCATGCGCAGTGGACGACGTACGGTGACATCGCGCCGTTCGGACCACTAGGTTAGCTCGCTTCCGCTCGCCAAATATGGTGTTATCTAACACCCCATTTTCTGTACCAAAACTGGCAGGGTGTATTGGATAGGGCCTTGACGAAATTTGCTAGCATAATTTTGAGCCAAATAGGTAACAAAGTAAATAAGCAATTCTGCTAGCAAATGGGCTGTCAATTTTACCCATGAAGCAAAATAGGCAGCTTTGCTCTGTTCCTGCCAACCACCCACGCATCGGCGCCTCTGCGCCATTTAGTGACAGGCATTTCAATGTTTCGCACGGTAGAATACACGTTTTATTAGAAATATACGGTCAGGGCACGTCCATTTTTCGGCTTTCTGAGGAGGAATTAACCGTCAGTCATGTTACAGTACAACAGTCGTTCCATTTTTCATAATGACTCAGTTGTTTAGTGTTTTAGTATGTAGCTACTCAGACATTTTTAATGGAAATTTCTACAAGAAAAGTGCATACAATAAAAAGCAAAATAGGTAAAAATATTGAGCAAAAAAGAAAAGCAAAATAGGCAGAGAAAAAGGCAAATTTTGTCAAGGCCTAGTATTGGAGCACCTCAGGGGTGTTCATTACACTTAAGACACACACAGGTCTCTTAGTGATAAGACACCTGTGGTTAGGTGGCTTACTTCTAACTAAGACCCTTCCGTTTACAGTACGCGCAGACCGGGGCGTCCAGAAGCGACTATCACGAGCTGAGACTGCTCAGACCTCGCCCGGACACGAACAGTTACAACGCTGCTAATAGCAGTGATTCTCTGTCATCGTCGACAGTGCCCAGTGCCCAGTGTGGAATCGGGAGGCCTCTCCACTGCCGGGCTATCGTCGAAAAGTCGAGACGCCGTCGCTAATAGTCAGTACTTACCAGCATCGGCACAATCGTGGATTGCGCCCGGTATCGGCTTGGTAGAACTCGCCTCCGCGGTGCTTTCCTCAAAGAGCTGCTACCAACCAAGGTTGAACGCGGACGAGCTACAGTCAACCGTACGGCTATCCATCGTTTTCTAAACAAATAAGACGACAAATTCTCAAGCCTTCGTGATTCCATCCCGCAGCACGCGAACCACGGAGACACTCGAATTTGCCGTCTTACACCTATACTAAGTAGATGTTTACAAACACCCTTGGGGTGTAAAGTCGGTTTTGTCCAATAGCTAGGTGCTTTTGTTTCCCTTCTTTTTCAATGACAGTACATCACTCCTTATCATTGATAGTAGCTATATAGATACTTGGCTAATATACCATCGAAATTTTATACCAAATTCAACACATGACTTAAAAGTTACCTTGGATTATTGAAGACGTCTTCAGCAGAAATTACCACGGGCCTAGTAGAATTGGCATCTTTCACTATTTCATACATATTGCAAAGCTCTTGGAAACCCAAGGTATCAGTGAAGTATGGCGTTACGCCATTCTGAACTACCAAACCTTGTATTGAGTGTGCAACAGCCACTGGATCACGAATCATAAATGTATGCTTAAAATTAGCAAATTCTCCTTGGATGTAATGGTTGTATCTTCCACCAAGGTAATAGGCCAAATCCTTTATAAAAAGGTACTTGTAACCTGCACTTGCGCATTGCTGCATTTGTGAAATGATATACTTCACTTTGGCTTCATACACAGAATCTGGATCATCTCTCAGCTTTCCATCTTCGCAGAAAAATGCTAAACAGTTAGGCTCGTGTAGTCCTTTAACCGATTCCAGCTCACGAATGGAACGCTCGAACGCCGTACCAGCACAGCGGTGGGAAGTCCACAAGATGACAACGCCGTCAGCCATGACCTTATGAAGTGCCGTTTGTCTCAGAACGGACCAAGCCTAAACGTCGTGTGAATTTACGTAAATATCGCGAGAGTTTAGCTAAATCTCGCATGATTCTAGCAATCGTCGCACGAGTTTAGCTAATCTGTGCATGACTCTAGCAATCGTCGCACGAGTTTAGCTAATCTGCGCATGACTTTAGCAATCGTCGCACGACTTTAGGCATGACTTTAGCTAAACACCGCACGACTTTAGCTAATCAGCGCATGCTATACGCTGCATATTTTGCATCCTTTGTTGATTAGTTGCTAAATTCGCGTTACTTCTATATTTACGACCAAAGCTAAATGCATGGGTTTTTACCCTCGGCGCGCATGCGCAGCGATGGTTACAGTAGTTACCCTCGGCGCGCATGCGCAGCGAGGGTACTGTAGTTGGGTGTGTGTGTGTCTGTCTGTCTGTCTGTGTGTCTGTTACTCTACATCTCACCTCTCGAATGTCTGTTCGTCCCAGAAACGATACCATCTACCCAACGGGCGATGAAGGTCAGAAAATGTGTGGGGTTTTCTCTGATAATGCTCCGTTGCAAAGCTAGAGCGCTTCCGGCATTCTGCGGCTAATGCGTAGTCGGCCATTTTATCGCTGCGGAAAACGCGCATGCGCTTATATTTTCAACAGGCTTTAACCTCGACCGGGTCCGCTTGCTCTGTGTATCTTGAAGGTACAAGAAGTGATAACGAAGGGCGTGTATCGACTGTCGCATACTATCTACTACTGTAGCTAGCCCGTGTCAGACTCTCTGTGAGCTACTAGCGGGAGACCGCGAGTAAACGCATACTAATAGCAGCCCAGCCCATCAATTAGCGGTACCGCGCATCCCCAGTTCGCCGAGGGTTTGCACTTTAGTGCTTTTCATTGTTCTGTGAGTCTGTCTGTCTGTTACTCTCAATCTCACTTCTCGGGCGTTGTTCGTCTCACAAAGGATACGACCTACTTAACGGGCAATGAAGGTCAGAAAATTTGTGCGGTTTTCTCTGAAAATGCTCCGTTGCAAAGCTAGAGCGCGAAAAAGCTAATATGCAAATAGACCGCGGTCGTGCTCTGCGTACTTCGGAGGAACCAGAAGATGCAACCCAGGGCGTGTATCGCCTCTCGCATGCTATCTAGTAGTGTAGTTAGCCCGCGTCAGACTCTGCGCGAGCTGGCAAGAGACCACGAGTAACAGCTAAAACTAAACCCAGCCCATCAATTAGTGGTACTGCGATATTTACGTAATTCACCCGACGTTTAGGCTTGGTCCGTTCTGAGACAAACGGCACTTCATAAGGTGATGGCTGACGGCGTTGTCATCTTACCGACGAGCCTGGTCCGCGATGGAAAGGTATATACCGTATATATTTTTGTAATTAACGCGGCGCTCTTATAAAGCGGCAAACAAAAGGAAAGGTCAAGGCTGGAAAAGTTCCGTATCCCCAAAACAGCTTGAAGACGAACTTGTGTCATAGATCTTACAAAAGCGAGAAGAGCAATTTACGTGGCGGTTTTCACTCAAACGATTGCTTGAAAGCCCTTCTGTTGATCAAGGATGCAAACAGAAATTCAATGGTTGGGTTCTAAAAATTGTTTTGTGGGTCGCACCCACACCAGTCAGAATTTGCCCAAAGATTGAGAAAATAAAGATGTTCCAAGCAGAAGTATAATTGTGTTAAATATGGATGAAACTGCAATTTTTTGGAAATATTCTTCTATTTTTTCTTGCTATTATTCTATTCCACAACTCACTGGCTATTATTATTCACTGAAAAATTGTTATTATTCTCTGAAGTTTCAATTATTCTCAGCTCAAGTTAAAGAACCCAAATATTCTCGATTCCTTACCGTTGCTATTATTCTTAAAGCATAATTATCTCATGTCTAGTAGGCCTTGACACATTATGCCAGCATAATTTTGGGAATAATAGAGGTAATAAGCTTATTGGAATTATGCTGGAATAATCAGCAAAAAATTATAGCTCAGTGAGAATATAATAATAGGTTAGAAATTAGCTGTGTGCGTACGCGCATGTGTGCAGTCCAGGTGGGCATTTGCTAGAACATTGCACGTGACGTGGGCATGGCTGGCTACTACTAGCAGCACGAGTGACATCGGGACCAGTGAAGCTTCAAAGGCTAACTACTTCTGCTAGTGCAGCCGTGTTCCGCAGCGGCCGAGCGAGCATTCTCTCTTCTCGAAAACTCCTTCAACCATCAGCAAAGATCATCCCTCGAGGATTATATTTCTGTGTCTGTTGTTTCAATTGAGAATAATAGGCTAGCTTCATGCTAGCTTCATGAGAATAATGGGCACTATTTGAGAGCATAAGGGAATGGGGAAATTTTGAGCATGTGTCAAGGCCTAATGCCTAGTCCCAAATAAAGTTGTTGATCGGTGCGCACAGTACATGCGCTGCCTGCAAATTTTTTTCTGGTGTTACTTTTTCAAAAATAAGGTAAGCACACGCCCATTTCTGCCACCTGATATTGCTGCAGGTAATATTTGTCACACCCCACCCCTGCTTATTGCGGGAGAATCCAAAATGACTTGCATGTTGTTACATAACAATCACATTTATGCTCCCACGTCACAAGACCCTTTTCCTTGCTCGAGAGGGCAGGGGTCTGGGTACAAGACTAGCACGACTTGCACTGCAACTTGTGTTTTATTTTCAAGACAACCCATCAATACCACCAGAGAATGGGCAGCGTTACACTCGCCGCACCCACACAAGTGTCCAGGGAAACTTATATAAGATTATTACATAACACTTCTCGCAACCAATAAAAACAGCAACACTACATAGTCTCTATGTCATACACTCTAATCAGTCCATCTGTGTATCCTGAGGGAGGAGAAACATAGACATACATTAAACTGTGACTTCTACGGGCACTGTGTATTTAGCATTATGTACAACATTGGTTTGAGGTTTGCCTGTTGAAGGTTCGAACCCCTACCAGCTGAGTTGCCCCGGGAGCTCAGTTGGTAGAGCGTTCCCAAAAACACCAAAAAAAAACAGAAAGTGGCTGACCGGCAAAGAGAGTCTGTCCGTCGTTGCTCCAGGACAGACTGACACACTCCACTGCGGCAGGAGTCGAGAGCCTGTCAACGTTCAGTTCATCCACCAGAGCCTTGCTCTCCAGGTCCTGCAGGGGGGAAGATGGAGGGGGAGGGAGATGGTAAGAGGATAGGAGAAGGGGTATACAAGGGGAAGGCACGGAGCAATACCACACAGCAGGTGTTTTTGCCAGGGCAAACATTCTTCTAAGAAAATGTTATGTCAAGAATGCTTTGAAAATGAATAGCTAATGAGGTTCATTTTGGGCTAAGACCCCGACACGTAGGTCTCTTAGCGATAAGATACCTGCGGTTAGGTGGCTTACTTCTAACTAAGACCCTCCCGTTTACAGTACGCGCAGACCGGGGCGTCCAGAAGCGACGATCACGAGCTGAGACTGCTCAGACATCGCCCTGACTCGAACAGTTCCGATGCTGCTAATAACAGTGATTCTCAGTCATCGTCGACGAAGTCTTCGACACTGCCCAGTGCCCAATGTGGAATCGGGAGGCCTCTCCCCTGCCGGGCTACCGTCGAAAAGTTGAGGTGCCGCCGCTATTAGTCAGTATAATACTTACCAGCATCGACGCAATCGCCCGGTACCGGCTTGGGAGAACTCTCCTCCGCGGTGCTTTCTTCAAAGAGCTGCTACCAACCAAGGTTCAAGGCGGACGAGCTACAGCCAACCGTACGGCTATCCATTTTCTTAACAAGTAAGACGGCAGATTCGAGTGTCTTCGTGGTTCTGCAGCCCGCGTGGTCGGTTGGAATGACGCAATAGAAACGTCGGCTCCACCTCGGTTACTATTGCGCATTCCAGCCTCCCACGTGGGCTTTAGAACCACGAAGACACTCGAATCTGCCGTCTTACCTATACATAAAATTCGGAGAAATTACTGCACGGAAAAACATGTGTCCGGGTGTGTGTTTGTGAGAACAAAGATTTAGCCACAAAAATGAAACATTATGGAGTAAAATCCACACCCAGACCCAATACAGAGGGAGAGAGTATATGCACGCGATCTTGGACGCGGAAATGTAGTACAAGTCGGCAAAAATTTCGGGATATTAAGTGTTTACAGGCGCCCAGGTGAATAACACGGATTTTGTCACAAGAAGGGAGAGACATCATTCTATCTGTAACGTAGCAATCTGTACTTTTTAACAGCGAAAGCCACTAGCCTTTGAAGCGGGAAGCCATTCCAAGAGACTCAAAATCAGAATGGGTGTGATCGCAGATTTACTACTACTGAAGTAATGAAATTGTGTCAGTAAAACAGACAGAAGAACATACCCATATCTTGACAGTTGGTCCAGTGGCAGCACACAGCCAGTACCTGTATATATGAAGGGAACAGAGGCACACTGGCAGGTGAGGGAGGAGAGACAACTAGTAGAGGACCTGTTGGGTGAGAAGACGAGGGAGTTGATGACATCACCGCCATTGAGAGTGTACAGGTGCTTGGCCTCGTTCAGGTCCCACAGCATAGCATTCCCATCCTGTGGACGCAGCAATAAAGGCAAAGGGAAAGCATAACCCAGAGGTGTATCCATTAGGGGGTCCAACAGTTGAATTTCGCTCTACTAAGGAATTTGGACGGAGGGAAATGTGTGCAATGTTCGCCATATGTGCCATATTAACAACAGCCTGCAGAAATATAGACTCAAAACTACAAAACACTATATATGCAAATTCCAATTAATGCACAGTTCCATAACAAAATAAGTATACTGTAGAAGAAAACGGTTCTTTAGTTGAGACTGTGACCTATACACAAAGTACAGAGTGTATTTCTATTTGTGTATATACCTTTCCTCCAGAGGCACAGAGAGAGCCGTCCGGAGAGACTGTGACGCAGTTGAGGAAGGAAGTGTGGCCGAAATGATTGGTCTTCAGTCGGCAGTTGGTGAGGTTCCACACCTGATGGGGAGGGAGAGAGGGAAGAAAGGGAGGGAGGGAGGAAAAGAGGGAGAGGGGGGGAGAGAGGGAGGAAAAGAGGGAGTGTGGAAAGTCAATGCATATTGCACACTCGCATGCAGAGAAGTGCCAGGCTCAGAATTTCACTATGCTTCATGCCACTATATATGCGAGGATAGAATCCATTTCTATCTCCGTGGCACGGCGTGACGTGGCAGTGTGACATGATAATGTGGGACTACACAGTCCAAAATTTGGGTGACTACGCTACGCTGCTTCTAACTCCTCACGGGCTGGGTACAGCAAATACAGCAATGCTGAACACACAAACTGGCCTTTCTGTAAGTCTACGTGTATACTATGGACAATGTACGCCATACTAATTGCAGCGCATTGTTGGCGAGCGAGCACAAGCAGTTCAATATTTTGCGCGTGTTTTGTGCATATTTAGAATCACATAGAACATTACGGTATGTGTGAGAGAGCCAACGACCAGGGTCTGGCTTCGCACACCAATTATCTTTGCTCCCTAATTATACATAACGACTCGCTCACAATCTACATTATACCTTGACAAGTTTGTCCCAGCCGCAGGAGACAATGACCGGGTTCTGAGTGTTGGGAGAGAACCTGACACAGCTGCACCAGTCAGTGTGACAGTCATCCTGGTCAGAGAGTGAGGAGAGGGAGGGAGGGAGGGAGAGGAGAGGGAGGAGAGGGAGGAGAGGGAGGAGAGGGAGGAGAGGGACGGAGGGAGGGAGGGAGAGGAGAGGGAGGGAGGAGAGGGAGGAGAGGGAGGAGAGGGGTGAAATGAAGATGAAAGAAGGAGGTTAGGGAGGGGAAGGAGGAGAGGGAGGGGAGGGAGGAGAGGGATGAAATGTAGAAAGAGGGAGAGAAGGAGGAGGAAAGAATTCATAAGTCAGTTGGATGGAGAGGGAGAGAAAGAAGACAGAGAAATGGGAGAGGAGTGAGGTATATAGGAAGGAGAGAGAGAGAGAAAGACAGAGGAGAGATTACGAGGTGGAAATAGCAGTACATGTATACCAAACGACAGGATATTCACCTACGTACGTATTATGTACGTACACTATACCTGAATGGTGTACTTGCAGACTCCAAGGGTGTTCCAGAGTTTGATGGAGTGGTCTCGAGACCCGGACACAATCTGCCGGTTGTCGGCCGAGAACGCGACACTCATGACGTCCTTCGTGTGACCAACAAACCTCCTGGTGGTAATTCCACTAGAGAGACATAACATGGTGAAGGAAGGCCGAACATTGTAACGAAACCGCAAATATCTGTATCCATGTGTATTGTACACATTAACACATCAGTAAAATTCAAAGTACAGAGTACTTTCATAGATTAAATTTCAGAAATTATTGTTCCAAGTAAGTAAAACACACTATTGTCCACTAACAATCATTCTAACACGTTTACACGCACTTTGTTCATGATTACTTCTCGTAATTTGAGGGGGGAAATTTTTCGCCCAAACAAAAAACGTAGAAGCCTACTATCGCACCCACATAGTAAAACAGAAGTATGAGAGCAACTATAGGATCATTCACACACATATGAGGATATTACACAGGTGCAGAGTGCACAAAAGAGAGATAATAAATAGTCCCAGACCCCGCCCTTTCTCGAGGAAAAGGGTCTGTTGACTATTGAGCGGTTTCTTGTTTGTGCTGACTCATCGTTGTCGAGTGCATGTGCAGAAAATCCCCATTTTGTTCGTGGACACGTGGAGTCCACCGAACTGCGTTACAATCCATTACATAACATCATGTGATATTTCACGCTCGTGGCAAATACTGCAATCTGATTCGGTGTCTCAAAAGTAAGACTGTCGAGTCAGCACAACCAAGAAAACACTCAATAGTCACCAGACCCTTTTCCTCCCCTGAGGGCGGGGTCTGTGCACGAGACTAGATAATAATATGAACTACTTTGCTACTACTATTGCTCGTGGACGCACACAAACCATACACATACACACAAAGAAGTATTAGAGGTTTGAGAGCCGTTCTTACGTCTGCAGGTCCCACAGACGGAGAGTGGCGTCCCAGGACCCAGACAGAGCAAACATCCCGTCAGAGCTGACCACCACGTCAGAGACAAAGTGGTTGTGGCCACGAAGAGCCTTCTTGGCAGTGCCGTAGTTGCCCTCCTCCCGGCACAGGTTCCAGACTATCACCGTCTTATCTGGTGGACAAACAAAATGCTTGTATAGCCTCATTCCCAGGCTCCCCCTCTCCGCGCGCACAATTCATGCGTATTTATGCGTTGACCTAGAGAAAAGTGGAGTAGGAGCCTGGTATATACATCTTAGCATGTGTGGACACCGTTTGACTCTAGAGCAGCGCAGGGTGATCGCGGTGTGGGCGGAGCGACGGAGCGAGTATGCCAAGAGCCGCAGGAAGGGGAAAGTGGGGAGAGTGGAGACACAGTGTGGTCAGCGACCCTTCAGCCGTCACCACGATGCCTCAGATGCCAGCTCAAGATGTCACGCGCCGGTAACCACGTACATATCATATACAACACATAGTCATGTCACACTATAAGCTAGCTGTAGACTTCAAATCACAGGGCTGTGGCATCTGAGGTATCGTGGAGACGGCTGAAGGGTCGTTGACCACCACGGTGTCCTCCGCTCTCCCCACTATAGGGCTCAATGGACATTAAACCAGGTTAACGGACAAGCGAGGCGGCGGCGCAGCGCTGATGCATGCGCACAAATCAGTCCCACCGCGTGGCCCCTGTCAGGGAAGAAGCAGAGTGAGCAGCGTGAGCAAGCTCCTGGCAGGGAGGAAGCGGAGTGAAGCAAGCAATGGCCTCGGATGAAAGGGACGTCCCGGGGAGCGGGCGAACAGCAGCGGAAGAGGCCACTGGCTTCTCAGAGGACCAGCTGCGGGCTATCACGTCCGTTGTTCGCAGCCTACTGAACGAGGAGTTCTCTGCCGGTCGCCAGCACCCGAGGGAAGAGAGCCGAGGCGACGACGGCCGTGGAAGCAGTGGTCCCGGAAGCAGACAAAGACCCCACACCAATCCCACAAGCACTCCTAGACATGACAGTCAGGGAACAGCCCGATTGGACCTCGGTGCGGTGGGCTCGACTCTTCAGCGCCTTCTGCAGGCGGGACTAGCTCCGTCAACCCAACGAGCATACAGGTCGGGGAAGAAGAAATACCTTGCCTACTGCCAGAGCGTAGGAACAGCACCCCTACCCACCTCGGAGGAAAAGCTAATGAACTTCGTGGCAGCGATGGTCAACCAGGGTCTTAAGCAGCAAACAATGAAGGGTTACCTGTCAGCAGTGCGACACCTGCAAATAGAGTGTGGAGGGGGAGACCCGCGGGTGGAGAACATGCCCCGCTTAGAGCTTGCTCTGCGGGGGGCCAAAAAGGGAACAGGCAGGCATCCCCACAAGGCCCGGCTACCGATAACACCAGCAGTGCTGGAGAAGCTGCGGCGCAGTTGGAATCAGGACCCAGCCAACCCGCGGCATGTCATGCTATGGGCCGCGTGTTGTGTTGCCTTTTTTGGGTTCCTGAGGTCTGGGGAACTAACAGTAGCAGAGTCAGGAGAGTTTGTGACCCGGGCCAGCATCTAACAATTGAGATGTGAAGGTGACAACACAGAGAAGCCACCTGTGTGTCACTCTGCGGATAAAACAGTCAAAGACTGATCCATTCAGGCAGGGCGTATCCATCCACCTACACCAACAAACCTACCCCTGTGCCAGTGGGTCTCTACTGGCGTACCTGGTAGTAAGAGGTACACAGACGCCCACTGTTTCAGTTGAAGATGGGTCCCCTCTGACTCGCTCCCCTGGCTAGTTTGCGAGCTGCGGACAGCTCTCAGGACAGCAGACATGACCCATCGAAATACGCGGGGTCACCCAGTTTCCGGATAGCGCCGCAGCAACGACTGCGGCAGCCTGCGGAGTCCCGGTTGATATAGATAAGGAACCACGTGGGGCGGGGAAAAGTCAAGCCTATCAACTCTACGGAGGATCCCCAGCCCAGAATTGGCCTCATCTCAGGACACTGGCAGAGCCTCCACATCTTAAACCCCAACATGCCACCACTCAGTGTGCACGCGAGTGTTGGCTTATAATGTGCATTGGACTGTAAGTGTAATGATGTCAGATGGTCTATGTAAGTTTGGGGAGTTGTTGAGAAGACTTTGCTTGGTGGAGCGTGTGCTTGCAACCACCACGCCTTGCCCCGCCCAACAAAGGCGGTGGTGCAGCGGGCACCAATTACCCTAGATGAGGGGGCTACCTCCAAATCAGAGAAGCGTGCAGGTACAAGGGGGGCACCAACCAATCAGAAAAGCGTGCGGGCAAATGGGTGCCCCCCTCTGAGCTCTGGTGAGCCAACCCAGATACCCATCCCTAATGCAAGATGGCATGCCGAATTGCAGCAGGAGAAGTGGGGAGGAGGGGTAGGGGTTGGCATCCCGCAAGATGAGCGTAGTAAGTTAATTCCCCCTTTGCAAACCTCGCTCCGCCCACACCATGCTCGCCCTGCGCTGCTCTTGCATCAAACAGTGTCCACCCCGTAAGCTCTACCGTCAAACTGTGTCCACCTCTGACATCGCTCACGTGCCGAGATGTAACAGCTCCTATATAACCCCACTCCGCTTTTCTCTAGTCAGAGTGTCATAGTGCATAAATTGTGCGCGCGGGAGAGGGGGAGCCTGGAAACGAGGCTACTATGTAGTATATATGAGCATAAAACAAACGTAACGGCTACAAACAGATATACCCTACACATGCAGACAGCGTGCTTCCCCAACCATCGACTACAGTATAACCAACAGTGAACGCACCCCTGAGCTGGACATGATCATGTCTGCTGGGACGAGAAGTGGCAATCTGCGTCACCCATCCTCCGTGTCCCTTCAGGTGACCGCGTAGCCTCAATTGCTCGGCCATGACAGGCGATTGAACTAGATCTCTGGTCCACTGAAAACGACTGAGAACACACGAGTGAATTGGGGAAAACCAATGCCCGAGCATGCGCACAAGTCCTAGTCCGCCTTTGCGCGCGCCGAAATGAAGAGCGGAATCTTGAAATCCTGCACAGAAGATCGTGCAATGCCGTCGTCGTGTGCAAAGCGTAGCCTCTTAGAGCCAGAACGATCTGCCCTGCCCTTGTGTATTGATTATATATACCAACAAATTGATCATGTGAGCTTCATTGCACCAATTACGTACAACTGTTGTGCTATGAATGAGCGGTTTATCATCATACAAGCTATCCCTGTCTACTCTGGAGGCCACGTGGACCAAAAAAGCTCTTCATTACCCTCACGACTCTAGTTGCCCCAGTAGTGAGTGAAAACTGACATCACCTACCCTGCATGTAGCTATGGAAGGGATAAGGGACTGAGATCTGCATTGAAAAGTGATCTTGTTCATTATATCTTCGCGGCTTTAGGCACGAGACTTGCAAAAGGTCTCCTGTATACTTTTAGAACATCATAATCACAACAGAAAAATACAAAGGGGTATATAATATGGAGCCCTCGAAACCAATAACTTTTTTGGCCCAGCAAAACATTATTGGTGTTTTTGCATTACCTGTGATGGCTTCAGTAATGGCTGTACTAATGGAGATATTAGATGTTTTGATGCACTCCACACGAATGACCCTCGGCTGTGAACATGTGTCAATAATAATTATGTACGATATATGGATTACTAAAAATAGTTTTTGCAGCGACCTAAGGACAGAGGAGGTTGTGCATGCGTCAATGTTTTGCGTCACATGAGCCTTAGAGTTGTATGCTCGCACACGCAACCCAGTCAACCTGCTGAGTCAGCACTTTCTGTATAACTGTACACTCGAGACATAGCAAGGTCTTGGCTCGCCTGAACACCAGCCAGAGCCACTTCACTACGCTATGATATTTGATTGATTGAATTTTAGCCACATGTGCAGGACAGGGATAATGTACAGCCACTATGTGTCATGTGTAGGCTGCCACTGTTTACACAACTAAAAGGAACGTGATACCCACCAGTTGCAGACAATGCAACCTTGCACATAGTAATAGCCACACCTTTTTTACACTTGGTGATCTTTCTAAATAAATATTACTCTATTATTGCACAAAATTGTTATACTTCCAGTTGAATCATACAGTTCGTAAACTATTAAGTTTCTCATAGTACGGCATTGCTTTCTTTAGTGCAACTTCCAATTCGGGGAGCAGCGGCTCACTTGACTTCCCCATCTTCCCAGCAGTGTGCTTCAGAAATCCACTACTAGTCATGACACTTCCAAACCAGAGCTCATAGTTGGGGTATTGCTTCCATTCAGGGAACACCTTTGGCTCCCAAGTCAGCATGCTCTCTGAGAACGGAAGGCCAGTCTCTCTGCAGTACATCTCCATCGTTTCCCTGCATATTACAACAGACCGCTATGGTACCAGGTCTCACGTAGGTTATAATATGGTAGCCAGGACTAGCTATATAGCACACTTGACCAATTCGATCATGCTCCAACTTTGTATAATAAAACGTAACTTTTTTGCAAGGTGCTGAACAGGCAAAATACACAAACGGAGTACTTTAACCGCTGAGCACGAACACATCATTAGCCTAAGGTAAAAAATGTACATAGCAATATTATACCTAAAACAGAGTTTGTGCATAACAACATGCAAGCTAACAACTTCGAGTGAAGGGTGGGTGTGTCCCTTATCCCTCCCCCTCACTGCTGTTAGTCAGTGTAACTATGTGTCTTGGGAAAGTGTGTTGTACCCAAGAGAGAGCTTGCTCCCTGGCTGACCTTGGAGCATCGAAGATGTCTTCAGCTGCTATTATCAAAGGTTTCGAGTTGCTATTATTCTTCACCGTTTCGTACATATTGTACATCTCTTCGAAACCCAGAGTGTCGGTGAAAAATGGTACTTCGCCATCCTGAGCTTTACACACTCTTTGTATGGACGGTGCGACAGCAGTCGGATCACGAATCAGGAAGGTATGTGTAAAATTGGCAAATTCTCCTCGAATAAACTCGTCAAAACTGCCCCTAACATAGTATGCCAAATCTTTGATGAAAATGTGCTCATATCTTTCACTTCGGCTTAGTTTGCTTTGGGACAGGATATAGTTTCTTTTTGCTTCAAACATTGGATCCTCAACATTTCTAAGACTACCGTCTTCGCCGAAGAAAGCCATACAGTTCGGCTCATGCACGACTTTGACTTTCTCTAGCTCTCGAATCGAGCGCTCGACGGCCGTAGAGGCGCAGCGATGAGAGCTCCATAGAATGACTCGGGCCATGGCGCTTGGGGCTGCCGCTGGGAGGGTTCAATCTCAGTGAAAGGTCGCTAGCCGGCCAGTTTCTCGCGGTTGCTTCCGCGCACGCGCAATGAGGGCGTCGCCCTTTCTGTGTGGCGACACAAATCACGTTAGCTATGCAGTTTTTGTCTGTCCTCTTGCATAAACGTTTAGTAGCTATGCATTATAGCTTTTGGGGCACAGCAAATAAAGGTATGTGTATGTAATCAATGGCACACAAAGGAACACACAGCTAAGCTCCCTTGCCCATATGATCATGAGAGGGTGGCCGTTTTGCATGCTGATTTCCCAGCAACTAAAGCCACTATTCATTCAGCAAAGCATATATAGTGATCCATGATTGATTGCTGAACCTCCACCTTAATTATGACATTGCACTTTGCATTATTAGGCATGGTTCAATGCTCTCATAATGCATAAGAGTTGGTGCATCCATGCCTATATATGCACAACAAGAAGGTGTAAAGTGCATGATAATTATTATTCACTTCAGGATTTTGAAATGCTGTTTATGGCTTGTAAGGGCCAGCATAGTAGAGATAAAGTACAGAGGCTGCTGTGATCAAACTATGCAACTTTTAACCTTTCTTCTCCTTTCTTTCTTTCCACATAATATTATAGCTAACTATGCTTCCCAATGATGGAAGCAAATCCCCACTCACTGTATCAAATATTAAGGTTATGCCCAAAAGTCAAGATTAATTATTTTCTGGTTCTCATTGCTCTGTTAAGTTGCTGTGAGGCATTGTTTATAATCTTGTATCCAGAGCCTTGTTCAGCTATATAATTATGCTGGAGCATCTTTGTCACTTTCATGTTCGCTAGAAAGAACCAAACAGTGCCGGAAGTGTAAGGTGGCAGGAAAAAAGTCATAGTAAGCAGGATGTAATGCTGTATGAGGTTAGCTTATTATGATGCATGTCATGTGTTATATATTCCTGTCCTATCAGAGAGACTTATACACCTTCTTTATTACAAGTGGTTTAGTTTCATCTTGCTATAAATATGAATTCCCTTTGTTTTTCATGATGTGTCATCCCTACATCCAACTCTTCGCTTCAAATACGATTAGAAATTCACAGGCACTTGTTCTACCTCCAACAGAAAAGTCCCGATAACACCTTATACGCATCACCCACTCACAGACAAAGAACACTCGCTGCAAAGTTACATCAAACTATGCAACATTCATGCACTAGTGGAAAGGAAAGCACTTTACATGATTCTTTCCTCATTCTCATGAACATAATATTTTGCAGAAGCGGTGTCAAAATTCCAAGGTTTGTGCTCAGTGTGCAAGCTGCACACCTCCAACAGAAAAAGTCCCCTTCTGCAAAATAATTATGTTCATGAGAATGAGGAAAGAATCATGTAAAGTGTTCTCAGATTCACGAATCAAGAATGGATCCGTTCCATCCTCCTCTCAACGCGCGCGCGGGTAATGGCGCAGTGGACTAAGCAGCCCGCCCCGCCTTGCGCATGCGTACACACACGTACGCATGCGCAAGGCATCCGGGCGACTGGACAGTAGCTACAATCAGACTATAAAATTGGCTAGATTTCCGTCAAAATTAGATGAATAAACCGACCGAAAAATGAGCTCCAGAAATCAAAAGAAAAAGAAGCTGGAGGAGAGCTGCATGTTGCAAGGCCTCGGTCGCGGGGTGGACATAATGAAACCAACGCCGTGGTTGGAAAAGACAGCCTTTCAGGTACGTGAGGCCAGCGAAGAAAATTTGATCATAACTGACGAAGGTAGGCCTACAAAAAGCGTATTGCGATGTTGTCGGCGGCGGCAGCACCACAATACACAGCCAATTACGGGCTGGCGTGAAGGCCCCCGACGCCCGATTTACTATATATTGGAGTAGACACTGAGTACGCTCAAACAGACTGTTCCTGTAAGCATGTAGTGGGCCTGAAGGTCAAGAACCGCACCGCCGCCTTCCGCGTTGACTTCGGTGACCTGCCCAGGTCGCGGGTCTCCGACGCTAACAGCGCGAGGGAGCAGATGATGGAAGTAGGAAGGACACCGATAAGTGAAGCAAGCCTCAGCGGATTTGAGGATCGTCTTTGCCAATGGCTTACTGAATGCCTTGAGCATCGTGGCATCAGCCTCCCCAAAGAAAAAAAGCTTTATGACCGTCTTTTTGAAAAAGAGCTCAACGAAGAGCAGATGAAAGAGTTAGAAGAAGACATCACTCGTTTTATTGAGCATTTAGGGGTAACGCATTACGTGAGTGCAATCGCAGCTTGGTGGTCTGAAATTTCGTGTTTGTACTGACAAAGAATACGAAAGCATTGCAGCAAGTGGAAGCAAATCCCTGTACTCCAAGGTGTATACAAAAATACAGCCATCTGCAAGGAGGTCCCAACACATTGAAACAAAAGTCATCGGAGAGTTTACGGTGAAAGGAGGCACAGAGGTAGTTGAGGAGTGCTGTGAGGCGGTCATTGGATGTCAGTTACAACCAGTCAGTAGCCTTGTTAAAAATCCCTACATCCAGCAGGTGGTGAAAGCAAGGGTACAAAAGTATACAAATGCAAAAATTGGCAATACTGGTAAGTTTTCTTCGAGTATCAAAGTTTCCCAGATTATTAAATCTTTTGCAGGTGATCGATACCTAATCTCAGTGTGTGGTTCGATGCGAGAAATGTATCTGACAGTGGACACAGCTCAAGGAAACATCATCACCGTTACATACAAAAAGGAAAAGGCCGAAATATTTGATCTGAAGACTGAAACACTTCACCTTCGTGGTCTAGAATTCTCCCTCACAAGTCAACTCTCCAAATCTAGGACTCAAGCTGGGGCCACGGATCAGGGAGGAGGTGGGAGTCAGGGAGGAGGTGGGAGTCAGGGAGGAGGTGGGAGTCAGGGAGGAGGTGGGAGTCAGGGAGTAGGAGGGAGTGTTGGAGGAGGAGGTGGAAGTCAGCATCAGTTTCCATTGGAGTACACGCTTGAGGTCAGCCGTGATAGAGGAGCTCGAATGCGCCTCGGAACGAATTACATGCACACACGGCTACTGCTAAAGAATACAAGTGACCGTCACAATTCTGGTGACACAAAGGATTGGGTGAAGGGAATGGAGCCCTACTACATCCAGTGTGTCCACTCATTTAGAAAGGGATTTCTCTGCATTAAACAGAGAGAGAGTTATCACAGTAGTGGTCATAGTGAAGAAGAAGAAATCCGGAAAAAGTATAAAGTTTGTATCAAGGGACCAGATTGTGCTAGCAGAGAAGAAGATAATTTCATTATGTTGTTTCGACTGCACCCTATAGCTGCACCCTGTTTAGCCAAAGAGTAAGAAGCAGTGACTGCATAATTATTATGTAGCTAGCAAGGCTTAAATAGACCTTACATTATGTATAGTAAACCTCTCACACACTCTTTGAAAATAATTTCGATGATCACAATAACTTCATTGTTAGTAAGTTAGCAATTTCATTCATTCTAAATCATTCTAAACTGTCACATTGACAACTCAAGTAGACTGCAAGCCCTGCCTAAAATAGCTATCAATAGTGTTTAGTGTATATTAATACATTTCCTTAGTTCTGTAGGTCATGCACGCATGCATATTTGATTATTAGTCATGTAGCTATGTGGGTCTATGTTGAAACTTCTGAGCTACTTCAGTTAGCTACCACAAACGGCTGATAAGACAGTGCATACAATACTCACAAACACACACAGATTCGGAGTAAAAAATCCCCAATACCATCCATATTATATATCCATATATGACAGCTACATAGTATACGTTTGGTGTTCTTAATATAGAGTAGCAGAGATCGAGAAGATAGCTCAAAGTGAGCAAACACCATGAACATACACTATATACTTGCAGCATTTGCTCTCTATTCTATTATTTTTCTAGTCTCGTTTACCTTAGTTCTTGCTTGTACACACACAAACACACACACTCATTCATGAACGTGTTCTTTGCCACAAGTTTCAGTAGAGGAGTGGCTGTGTTTCCTCCTCATCATCAAGACTCTCATCTTCTGTCTGTTGGAGTGCGTAGACTCTGCCTGAAGTCAGGCTGAGAAGCCTTTGGACCAGAGGCTGTCGCTGCACAGCCTCAACACTGCGAGAGAGACATTTGAATCGTTGAAGTACGTGACACAGAACCCAGAGGAGCATCAATGTGTGTGGTATGAGGCTGAGGGCAACCACCCAAGAGGCAAGGAGCTCCGAGTTCAGCAACATGTCCTGCCACCAGAGAACAGTGAGGAACGAAAAAACTCCAATTAGGAGGAGGTTGAAACTGAGAGAGATGTTTGTGGGCAGGTCCTTGCAGGGACGGAGATAAGAAACTAAGAATCCCGACAGTGTCAAGATCCCTCCAGCTGTGAGCGGCGGAGTGCCGTCAAAGCCGTGGTGAGGAAGAGCAGCCATCAGCAATGAATAGGCTAGTGCCAATAGAATCATAATCCCTGGAATCATTCTATAGTCACGTGTTCCATTCAGACCATCCTTGAACCCGCAATTGACTGTCTCAACAAATATCTTGACGGCCAGTTGTTTTCTGGTACTCAGACACTTTGAGGAAAGTTTTCCATAGAGTCTTGTTGGATACATGGTGATGAGGATACCAGGGATGGCTACAAGTATAAAAACAAGTAGGAGTGAGATGGCGAGGTATGGGATGTGATCACGACTGTACATCTTTATACTTGGATCCAGTTGAAGTACACTTCCCTTCATCTTACCAGTGATATCGAAGACTGAAGTTGTCTGCAGTATTGCATACGCCTGACACATGGTTGAGAAAATTGACAGCATTGTGAATGTTGCAAAAGCATGAATGATCGAGTGCCTAAAATTGTAGGCTGAAACAAACCGAGGAACAATTTTATACCAAGCAGTAAATTCAACGACAGCATATGTTACGGAAACGAGGAGTAGAGGGAATAGAACTGTATTGAAACCCAGCATCTGCACGTGTATGCCATTCATTTTTTCGCTGACGCAAAATGGTGGAGTAACAAAACGGAAGAATTCCAAGTTCCATATTCCTGAGAATACAAGACTAATGTGTCCAAACACAGCAAGTGGCGGAGATAAATAGTGAAACAGTGAGTTGTAAATGTACCGCGAGTACTGCAGAGTATTGATTATTCCTTGACAACTAACAACGTATCCCAGTTGTGGTCCCGTCATTAGCGAGGGGCGAAAGGCGAGAACAACAAAAAAGAAGACAGTTATCGGGAGCAGTTCCAGGACAAGATAGAGGCTGATTGCTGTGGCAGTGGACATGTGGGAGCAGTTGGAGCAGTGGAGATCAAAGGAGTGAGCTGCAGGACCAAATCCTACAAGACACTCACCACAGAAGAGACCCCTGCGATTGTATGGACTACACTGGCTGCTGTTGACCTGGGTAGGATCAGTAGGTAGTGTAGTAAACTTTCTGCTGGTTGTGTTAGAAAATGTTCCGTAGGGGCAGTCTCCGGCTATCAGTAGAGAACTTGAATTTTCTCCTCGGGCATAGAGTCCTGTCGTGTCGTATGTCATACAAAAGCCTGCTGTGATAGCCACCGTCTTGTTGGGCGCACAGTCGTTGCATTTCAAACGTCCACTGAGGTCAGAGCCACACTCACAGTCTCCATCTTTGTTAACTAGGTACCATGTATTGCAACCACTCTCAGCCAGAGAGCTCATAGCAATCAACAGAACGACTACGGCAGACTTCATGGCAAAGAGCTCAAAACTCTATGTCATACAAAGAGTGACGAAACTCTAGCTATAGCATAGCAATAACAACCAGTGTTGGTTTGTTTGTTTTCCTTCGCAACCATTTATGAGTTTGTTATGAGTGAAACCAAAACTGTCTTCCTAAAGAGTAGCTACTTGTGTTTACACGACTAAAAGGAAAAGAGCACCTTGTTGCCACAGTTGACACAGAATTTCTGCCATGCCTCACATGTGGAGCTTATCAAAGTCTCTGTGTACCTTGGAAGTCCTCTGAAACGAGCAGTTTCGACAGTTTCACTTTACAAGAACAGCTCTTGCATGCAATAATGAAGGCACCCAATGACACTTCTCTTAATAGGAACACTCCCAGACCACATCAACAGACTGCATACAAAGTTTACAGCAGTAAAATGAATTTGGTGTCTTGAGACTGAATCAAGTGTAAAACGGCTCTTGGGAACACAAGGGCAGAAAAACAGTACAAGTGTTGTGAAACTTGTAGTGAGTAATGCAAATCTGCTGTCTTGGTTAATTAGTAACTGGACACCACAGACACTGTGTCCAGAGCCTCCATAAGTCCATAAGAATTTATAGCTATGTAGCTAATACCAGGTGCTAATACTTAATAAATCAACTTCTGCTTTTTAAGCAGATATATACCCATGGCGTCCAAAGGGTTATACCTCAGCGAGGAAACGCATAAGACCCTTCTTGCAGTAGTGAGCAACTGTAGCTACCAAATGCAAACGCCCCAAAGTGCCACGTAGTTAAAAAAGTGCTGCAATGTAGCTTTGTTGATTGCTATAATTATTATAGTTGTTGCTAATTTTCTCTTTATTATACAAAATGGCATTATCACTACAAAAACGCCCCTTTGGACGCCATGGCTATCTGCTTAAATAAGCAGAAATTGATGTTTAGCGCCTAGTATTATAACCCCCATACAAATTCTTGTGGAGGCTCTGTGTCCATGGCTGGTTAAGTGTTAAGTTTTATGGCATTTTCTGGCATGTACAGAAAACCCACAAACATAGCACAAGTATTCTGGGTATATCACATTATGTTTGTGCACATGTACTGAGGACGTATATACACTGAGCCAGAAAATGCCCTAAAACTGAAGCATTTTTGTATATAGTGTTTTAGCAAGCAAACCTGAGGGGTTCATGCTTGCGTAATGTGGAATGTTACTGTTTGTGCAGTGGCATTCCCGTCACATATCCGCATTGAGACAGTATAGGGGGGCGGCCTCACTTCGCTTGCCAATACTACAACTTTCATTAGAAGTGTCGACTACTTTTACAGTGAGAAACATCATCGTGTGAAAATAATTATTATAGAAACACAAAAGTGACTGACAAGGGTGAATGGACAAAGATTGAAATCCTATGACTGCAGAGGGTTCATTTGACATGTTCATATATGACCAGGTCCTGGTAGCTATGTGCCATGTCCTGGTAGCTGTTGGCGGCTGGGGAGATGACAGTAGTACTGGCATAGGCAGAGTTCTCGCTCAGCACCATGTCCCCGTTGGTCGTCTTCTTCTCCTCCTCCTCTTGAACTGGATCATCAATGGAGCCACCATCACTGGAGCCACCATAACTAGTGAGTAGGAGAGGTTTGGGATTTGGGGATTAGTGACCGTGTAAACAATAGTACACAAAAGGTACCACGAAAAGGGACCATCTCCATAAGTTGCTTTTCGTGTTATTTTTCCATTTTTTTTTACTTACTTCATACTACTGTACAAAATTCTAATATTTTGCTCCCTGGCAGAGCTTTTGCATCGCAGTCAAAAGGTCAAATAAATTTCCTCTATAGGGACCGTGAGGAGAGTGCTTTGCTGGTTTGCATGTGGATAGAGCATCATAAAAATTGCCGATGGTAAAAATACTATACAAAAAAATTGTATAGCTACCTTTAGCTACATACCTGCTCATTTTTAGTTTTCTCCTGCAGCAGAGGAGGAAGGTTGGCAGGGCGACAAGGAGTGTGGCTACAATCCCGACAATGAACCCAATGCAACCCGTCATGACCAGAGCTTCAGTACAGGACTCCCAAGTGGTCTCCGGCGATGTACTGCTCTCCGGCGATGTACTGGTCTCCAGCGAGTTAGTGGTTGTCTGAGTGGCCGCTGGTGGTGGGAAAATAAGATAAATCTCAACACACAAACCCATAATTTTTTCCCTTTTGTTATGGGAAATATGCAAGAGATGATTTTAGCTTCATTATTAATTTTTTGCCATTCCATGCTGTACACTGTGCAATGTTCATAATGTTGCATGATTCAGCTACACATAAACTGACATGCAACACATCCATTGAACCTGTCCCAGCTACGTAGCTATAACAGAAACATGCAACAATTAATTCGTATATCTGAAAAAAATTTACACACTGCCTGCACCATCCTCGATCTATAGCTAGCCAGAGAGAGAACTCTCCTCCATTCGACGGCATTCGCTGCAACCTTCGGTGACTGACCGAGGCTGCACCTCTTTCCAATCTTTGTGGTTTCGAGGTTAAGTTGTAAATAGGCTAGGATGGCTCAGTGCAGATGTACAGTCATTGCTCCCGCAGTCCCGCTCACCCAAAATGCCATGCATTCACCTACCATTACTACACACAACAGACTGTGTGTGTAGCATATGCTCATTCTCCAGAAATTGAAACATGCAACTTATCCACTTACACTTACCACGAACAGACTGTGCGTAAGTTCCTTCACCAGCACTATTCATAGCTGCCACCCTGAGGCTGTACAGTCCCCCTGGTCTCAGTCCTGTGACCACTGCTTCGAGGGTAGCCTCGCCAGACACTGCAGGGTCTTCTCCGCCCCACTCCCCTCCTCCCTGTACCTCAACCTGTAGCCTGTGACAGCCCCGTTGGTGTGGTTGCAGCCGACCCGACTCCACTTGAGGGTTATGCCTGTTGGTGTGACATCCGAAACACCCACCATCACCGGGGGAGCATCTGGTACTGAAGACAAGAACAACGATGGAATAGTAATTCATTGCTAATCATTCAAGGGTGAAAACTTTGGTAGCAAATGCGAATTTTCTAGGGCCACAATACAAATGCCCCTGCTTAGTAAAAGAGATTTCACGGGCAGGTAATAAACTGTGACATTCACTCTGTGGCATGGTTGGGACAGGTACTATGTCAACAACGAGGTCTAATCAAAACAAATGAACTACACCCAGGACAAAAGAGCTGCCCTGGATGGGATTCGAACCCACGACACTCTGCAGTCTAGGCGAGCGCTCTACCAACTGAGCTACAGTACCAGGGCAAATCCGCTGGTTCAAATCTTCAACACATTACAACAAAAGACAAAGGAAAACTTCAATGAACTCTGTCGGTAGGAGTGCATCCAACTCTCATATTATTGCCTTAGTCTAAAACACTGAAAAAAGTGTTAGTGCATCCTGATATAATCCTTGCATGAGCAAGATGGGCTGAGGCATTAGGCCAAAATCAACAACATACTAACTTTTGCATCCTTTTCTACGTGAATAGGACTATACTGCCTACTACGTGACTGGCAGTAAAGGATGATTGATCGTTTCCCACACTCCTAGCAAAGCAATTTGGCAAGCATTGAGTATATACAAAATTTGCATAGTGTAAAGCATAATGGGAGTGGCACTGCCTATTGGCGAGCGGGAGCAAGCTAACCTAGTGGTCCGAATGGCGCGATTTTTCTACATTTATTTATATAATTATATCACCGTATGTCATCTAACTGCGCATGCGTTTGAATTACGCTTCTTTTAATCGAAATATTTCTACCTGCCTAGATCCTTGATGCACAATCTAGCCAGGCAGAGAACTCTCCTCCATTCGACGGCATTCGCTGCACTCTTCGGTGCCTGTCCAAGGCTGTATTATACCTCTTGTGGTTCCAAGTGCAAGTTCTAAATAGGCTAGGATGACTTGTGCAGATACAGGCATTGTGTGCTTGCTATCGGTTGCCAATAATGCCCTACTAGTATAATTAATGCCAACAACAAGGTTGCACTGAGTGTATGTGTGTCAGCTATAGGAAATCGCTCAAGGTTTCTCTGCATTTGAAGTACTGGACAGGATGGTGCAATTTCCTGTACCAAACAGTAGCAGCAGTGAGCATTTCCTGCTCAACTCTTAGTGGGGCATCATTGAGATGCCCTATAGCTGTGGTGCAATAATGGTGCAAGTTTGCACATGAAGTAATGTAGCAATACTTACACGTGAGAAATTAGTACACACTTACACGTTAAAATGTGTTTACTAAATCTCGTAGTATAGTAACTTGCACCTACACAAGTGCCCAAGGCACAATTGACCATTGCCCTGCGCAAACAATGCATGCTGGTGTGAGCCAATTTGAGTAGGTAGTGAATAAATCTCTTCATTAAAATCTAAGGAACTTTAGAGGCCCTTTGTCCCTTCACGTAGTGTCCTTGATGCATTCTTGCGGAATGCTACAATGCAAGGGCTCTTGAGCTTCTGATATTCTCTCAACATCAAACTATTATCAAGTGGGGAGTGAATGGGAGGGCAATATTATTAGGTTCTACAGGTATTCCAAAATATATAATCATTAACGGCATGGTGGATCCGCCTATGAGGACTAGGTGGGCACACTTGGCTCACCAAAATGGTTAGCATTCCAGCTACTTGGGTAAAGTGCATACCAGTCTCTGATGTAGTAAACATCTTCATCCGCTGGAGCAGGTCTCCATTGCTCAATGCCGCAGTCACAGAGACAGAATACAGGGTTCCCTCGTGAAGACCACTCAGAGTGGCCACGGTGTCAGTGAGTCCAGTGGTGCTGGCAGAGTGACTGAAACAGTGTGAGTTGAGCGTGTTGGAGTAGGAGAGGGAGTAGGTGGCTGACAGTGAAGGAGGTAGGGCCAGGGTCCAGCTGATGGTGGCAGTGGTGGGCGAGAGGGAGTCCACGTCCAACGAAAAGCTGTCTTCATCAAATACTGCAGGAAAAAAAGTTTTTATTTATATTATCACTTCTACTGGCTCATTGAATGCACAAAGATGATGAGCAGGCAGAGTAAAAACCCATACTCAATATTGATAACGTACTCTGAATGTGGACATAATTAAGTTACATCTAGAGGTGAGGAGCTCGAAACTGGTACATACAGTATGCAGAGGGACCGAGAGTGTTTCTGGCCATACTACATGCTATGCCAATAACAGTGATGAAGCAAGAGGTAAATGTTGACCACAAAAATTTAATAGAGAGCTAGTCTACTAATATTTATCGCACTGCCCTGTCGTCGTGCCAAATTGCTGCATTGATTCCATTTCTATCCTAGTTACACGGTATTACAGGGCAATTGTTAACCCAGCCATACAGTTGAAGCAGAGAGCTCTTACCAGTAGTCGGGGCGGCTATAGTATCGGAGTAAGGTCCAACACCAGCACTGTTAATGGCAGCCACCGACACCATGTACAGGGCAGAGGACTTGAGCACACTGAGCGAGACTTTAGTGGTTCCGTGTACTGTCAGTGTCTTCCTCCTCTCACTCCCCTCCTCCCCATAGCTGACAGAGTAGCCGGTTATCTCTCCGTTGGCATGGAGGCAGTCCAGTGGAGTCCACTGGAGACCCAGAGTGGTTGGAGAGGTGTCTACTATGGCGACAGATGTGGGAGCTGCAGATGGTGCTGGAGAATGGAAACACCGATTTACAATCATAAGTATTCTAGGATTGAACTGGTCATTTTCTTTTATGACTACGTAGTGGGCCTATACCGTAAGTATGGGACACTAACTTGTATAGAGTGACTTTTTATACTTTTGGCAAAGATCCTACGACTTGTTCTACTGGCCCATGTATCAACACCATTAAATGCCTGGTTTTGGGCATACACAGTCATCTACAACTATCAGGTCCAAGAGCAATACCGTACTTTAACACTCTCACATTCGGCAGCAAACAAAAAATTTTTGCAGATGTCCTCTAAACTTACTACACTCACAAACTGTAACACATTGCTCATAACCTGCAAAATTAATGCTAGCTCCATAGATTACTTGCTGGGGGACAATCAGCCCCCCAGCAACAAACGTAGATAACAGCACGCCTACTATTTTGGGGTCCCTACTATTGTCCCATGCAAACCATTATTCAGGGAGACAATAATGAGATTGAGAGAGTATGCCCGCTGGTACGTATGCTCTGGTACCAGCTCTGTGAAAGTGTATTATCCCTCAAAACCTACAGTAGCTAATTTTCTCAAGCAGAGACCTTCCCTGAGTGGGTCTTTAACGGGTGGTACTACTCATGTTCAGCAAAGCCACTACAGTACAACTAACACGTCTAGACTCAGGGGAAGTGTGCATCAGTTGCTGAATAGCAGCTACACAGCGGCCACAATACTAGAGTTTAGACAGACTTTACATGAATCATTGAGGAAAACTACGTAATACCAACATATTATTTAGACAGAGAATGCTAATCATTCAGGAAAGTGTGCATCATTAAAAAAACAGAGCCGAATACTTTTAAAGGAGGTGAGTTGTGGATCAGTGATTATTCTAATGCTGAGCACAAGGATCTACTACTTTGGTCGTCTTCATAAATTTCCACCAGCATCATCACACATACAGTGTATGTTCTGTAAAACCGGTTAATTTATGCACTCGTATTCAAAAAATACTCATTTTCAGTTAGTTGTGCAGTAGCTCATCGTGTGGTGCAGAACAGCACAACATGAGCACTCTCTTCTTAAAAAAAGCTCTACAAACTATATACCAGTGGAGTCTGTTGTGGTTGTGATGCTCTTTGAGAAGTTGACCAGGCTACTGAGTACTGCAGTGACTATGATAGAGTACCGAGTCCCAGGCTGAAGACCAGTCAGAGTATAGGAGGTCTCGTTGGCTGGAATATCTGTGATTACTTGAGAGGATCTGAGGCAGGCTGTGTTGTTGGTGTTGGAGTAGGAGATGGAAAAGTTAGTGGGAGCCACACCGTTCGTTACTGTCCATGATATACTGGCAGTAGTAGCAGTTGTGGAGACCCCAGACACACGAAGAACATTGTCTGTTGGAAATAATTATTAGCTTCTATGAATTACAAGAACATGCCTGTAGCTATAAATTATAGTTAGTTCCAACATGATATATTCCAAGAGACCCCATCGGGTAGCTATAATTAGCTACGACACAACCCAATAATGCATGCAAAATAGATTTTTTGCCTTCGTGAATTTGGTCTATAGCAAATCCAGTGGCTGCTATGTGACAAAGAAAAAGAATTCAGGACTGATGCCACTGTGCACCAATAACTAATAATACGTACCTTGTACAAATGAAGCCTCAACTCTGCCTGCCAGGTTGTTAACAATGCAGCGATATGTGCTCCCCAATCTCCTAGATATAGTGAGGGTGTGGATATAGCGAGCGGTCACCGGGTCGTCTAGCACAGTCTTCTTGCCTCCGTTGACCACGGAGGACTCACGGACCCAGGAGACGGTTGTGGCAGGTCCTCCAGTGGATATGCAGGTGAGGGTGAACTGAGCATAGCCTGATCTGCTGTCCCTACCCACTGTCAGTGACACCACTCCACCTTCAATACGAGCTCGCCCTGACGGCATTATTGTGCAACAGTGAAGATTAGTGCATTTGCTGCGCTTGATTACAAAAAGTTTTGCCAACCCGGCAATCACGATTAAAACCCTTTGGACGCCATGGGGATCTGCTTAAATAAGCATAAATTGACGTATTAAAGTAATAGCGCCCTAGTATTATAACCCCTATAAAATTCTTATGGACTTATGGAGTCTATGGGCACATTTATGTGTCGGTTAAGTGTTATAAATGGATTATTTGCTCGGCCAACTTCAAATAGATAGTTGTGTATACGTGAGGCTGTTAGCATGATCAATTTCAAGGTGCATAGCTATATATATGCACAGAGCCTCCATAAAGTGCATAAGAATGTATATATGGCTATAATACTAGGCGCTTACATCAATTTCTGCTTATTTAAGGAGACACCTATGGCGCCCAAAGGGTTTTAACAATGGTTAATGCACTACTTTACGACGAAACTTACTGTTACATTATTGCTATAAATATGTACTTATACCCTATAAACGCATCGTATACGTAGCTATATACGCCATTACTTACCTCCGCCGTTTGGATACAATCCGACGTACAGTGACTCCCTGACACTTGCTCCAGCACCGGTTGCGACAGTGTCGATCTCGCAGCGATATATTCCCTGCAACACGCCGACGTTGTCCCTTCGACGAAGGTCTACTTGCTTGTTGCCATGTACTACGTACACCGACCCCGCGCTGCCAAGACGTTGGTTGTCCGGGGTAAACCAATCACCGCCCGCGCCGTCACCATTGCTTGCTTCGCAGCAAGAATCGAGGTCACTGTGACACTGGAGACTGTTGCCTCCGTTTTGACTGCTCCCCACTTGATCGAGAGAAACGAGAGCATGGTTCGGTAGATTGTCGCTCCCTAGTGTAAGACGGGCTGCCGCTTCTCCGTCTCCGCATGTTAGCGCGAGGCCGAGCAATGCGAACATTAGCAACCGGTTGGCCATATGTAACTCTCAGTCTTTTTTTTGCAAACTGCACCGAATATTTCGCATTATAAACTGCAGCTGCGTAACAGCGATGCAGAGTGTATAGCGGTGTTCCGCTGTCGTCAACGGAAGGAGACGCCACCGCCGTCGCTTCCGCGCTCGCGCGCATTACAATCTGAACGCGGTCCGCAATAATAGGCATCAGACTTCAACACATTTCTGTTATGCAACACTCTTTACACAAGGTTAGGACACGTGTGACAAGTTAATAAACTGACTGAGTGATAAGGTAAAGCTCTGAGCATTATACACACTATAAGACACGGATTTGCTGCTTGCTAGACATCGCTTTTGACAAACACTTTAGGTCTGGAGAAAATTTTCAGGGCGTCTTCGATTTCAGTCAGTTTGTTCTCCAGTTCAGCTCTCTTGAGCCTGTGTTTGAGTGTGTCAGTGGAGAGTGGGAGGGAGGCTAGCTCCCGGGTCAGGACTGACTGGTCTGTAGAGAGATGAGGATGGAGGGAGGGCAAGGGGTTGGGCAGGAGAAGAAAGAGAGAAGAAAAGGGAAGGGATGAAAGAGGAAGTAGCATAGAGAGCACTCTGCACTGTTAGCGAAATGAAGAAAATAGCTCATGTTCCACACACATTTATACGCAAGTTCCTAAAAAGTGGTTGCTTCTAACAAAATCTGCACAAACCACAAATATTTTTATCTGCACCAAGCAGAATTATGGAGTTTGCAGATCAAATATTGTGTGAAATACATACATGTGGAACACAAGCTTGTACACTATTACAGTTTCGGAATTTAAAGCACAACTGGAGGAGGACTAACGCTGAGTAAGGACATCCAGAGTGTGTCGTCTCTCCTTGCTGGACATGAGGGTGTGACCAGGAGGCACAGAGGGGTCTGGTCTATTGGCCAGTCTCTCCTCCTCTGCCTTCTTCCACTGTAGTCTCCTGGACACCAGACTGTATTAGCGGCAGGGGGCAGGGTAAATGTCAGGCAGAATAGAGTGGGACATTAGCAGTTTAGTTTAAGGACACTAGCAATGACATTAGCATTGATGAAATGGTCTAGAGGTGGCAACCAATGCTTCAACGTGCAGGTGAGTGAGGACCTACATAGCAGGCAAGGGGGGTAGTGCTTTAGAGTGTACCTCTTGGTCACCAGCAAGAGGAACCGGTAGGGCAGGAAATGCTACAAGGTGCATCCGTAGAAATATTATAGCTATATAGGGTGCATGTTGTACGGTATAAGGGATTATAAGACTGCTTTGCTAACACGGAGCTGTAGTAGTAGATCTTACCAATACAAATATCTGCGCAGTAAAAGAGTGGACTCTTGCAAACTGACGCTACTGTAATTTGAGCGCGTTAAGTTCCCCTTAGCATGAAAGCACATGCACCATGAGAGCACCTATGGGTGTGGGCACACTTGCTTGTGTAAACCACCACAGTAATAGAAATAATAATTACTGCATACAATGCTGCATGAAGGGATGAAACGAAACAGTGGATCAGCATGAGCTAAAACTGTACATTTTGTTATAATATTGTGCATGCCCAAAATCACAAGTCGTTATTATGCCACCATAAACTCAGTGGTTGCTGCAAAAGGACCCCTGCATGGCAGCAGCTGTCTCACACACAGCCAAGTTAAAGGTGTGGAGGATGTGACACTATGCACATATACAAGCTGGATTACGCTAATTCTGTCAAAGCTCTACCCTCTACCTCCTACACCTCTATTATATCAAAGGCATATCACTGTATCGCCACCATAAAGTGGCCACTGCAGTGTAAAAGGGACTGAAGACAAGCTCTGCGTGAAAAATGTATTGTGGCTGAAGAAAGTCACACACAAAGGGTGTCCCCCCCTCCCCCCTCGGAGGGCATGCTTTATTAAACGGAATGTTGCTGAATAGAGATAAATGTTACTACAAAGGAATATATAATTGCATTCTCACACTGAGTCCTAATTGTTTAGCTGTACAATTTCAAAATTAAGCCTACGTTCACTTTAAGCTCCTCACAGTGATTTTATTATAACAACTGGTTTCCTTACTACTGAGGTAATTTCCCCTTCTGATGATGGGAGAAGTCCTCGTCTCTCTTTCTCTGGAGCTGGGCCAGTCTCTCCTGTTGCACGCCCCCCCGTCTCACACTCTGAGCACTGGCAGCCCTGATATTGGCCGCCAGGTGGTTCTGCAGTCAGTGGAGCAAATACACTCTGACTCCACACGAAACGTAACACAGACTGTTTTCGTATGCACATACACCTACCAACCATCCGGCTTTTTGCTTGATAATCAAGCAAAAAATACTGCCTATCCCACCAGAAAATCGCCAAATCCCTCTTTTTTGTGCTAACCTGTGATGCACCATGCCTATACATTTGAAATGGACACAGTATTTTCAAGGAAAAATACTCCAAATCAAGCAAATTTGACACATTTCTGAAGCAAAGGTTCATATGCAGGTTGGTAGGTTGCATAACATCATTGCTCAAGTTGTTTCATAAATGGAGTGGTTCAGTCTAAAAGATTGACATTCCTGTGGCACCAGTGGCACTGGACACCTCTTCTTAGAGGATAATTGCATTTCTAACAGGACATCTCCCTTACGAAAAAAGGGTGTTTTAACGGTCTCAGCTTTTGGACCGAGAGCACCAAATCACACCGCATATACTTTCATCAGTATACAAACATGTGCTGAGAATGCCACACGAAATGTAAAAATGTGGTCTCTTTGGATAAACTTGCACATGCAGCTGCTTGTCCAGCAAGATGTACATGTACACATACAGAGAGGTGGTTATTATTGTAGAACCAACAGTTCTGTGTGAACTACAACCTACAGAGGATTCAGGCACACCGATATGCACCACTCAGGCCACTACTTCAAAGGCACACACATGGTAAGCCGAGAGCCACTACAGCAGAGGAAGTTGCTGGTGGGACATGGTTGCTAAAGCCCAGGTGCTAGGCTGACCATCAAAAGTGGGACAACTATGAGCTACACTTGAAAGAATTCTCACTTCTCAGAAGCTGGCTACAAATCACCTCTCATTAGAACCCACAACTCTTTGTATTATACAGGTGGCTAGGTAAGCAGGGGGTAGATTAAACTGTACAAAGTCCACATCAGTGGAGGTGTTGGACAACATGGTTGCCCACTGAGCAGACCATATGTCATACTACTAAAATTTAGCTGGCTTTTGATCTAGAGAATTATGTAGTACAATACAGTGTAGCTATAGGGCAGACGCTGGAAGGACGTGTTGGAAGAGAAAGACTAAGCAATGCCTTCACTTTCGCTAAATTGTATACTTTATGTACTACAGAGGGCCAAAAAAATAAAGGTTTGCACCGTGTAATGAGAAAGGTGTATAAATTCTGCAGACTGTGGAATGCTGAAATTGTGGGCAATTAAGTGATGTCACTTACACTTCAGGTTGGTTTAATGGCATAATTTGTGGTACAATACAAAAGATTGGTGATCAGTTAACCACTAACTAAAGAAAAAAGAACAGTATGAATGTTAACTACAGTTTGAGGAAATGACAAACAGGATGGGGTAGATACAGTCATGTGTCTTCGCGAAAAGATAAAAGGATAAATCGTAAACCCTAACAAAGCAGCACAAAGTTCTCGTACGAGAAAAAACTGACCGTTGTTTGGTTGGAGGAGGGAGGAGGGGGTGATCGAGGGGGCTGGGCAGTATTGGGACGGGGCTGGGCAGTATTGGGACGGGGCTGGGCAGTATTGGGACGAGGCTGGGCAGTATTGGGACGGGGCTGCAGAAAAAATATCTCTTTAAAACACAATGCTTCCTCGTGCTGGCCAAGCCTCATGCTGTGTGTGTTAGCCACCTCAATCCCAAGGCGAAAAGACAGTCATTTGTGGATGTATGTAGGGTTACTTTGCACTTAAACAAATTTACTTCGCGTGAGTTTTACGATGCACACAAAATAATATACATCAGTAACAGTAATACAAGGCATCCTTATTTTGGCCTGGGGACTACATACAGGCTAGTGAAGAGCAAGTCTGCACGAGAGACCCTTGCACCTTCATACATAAAGCTAGTCTGTACTACACTGTGTGTATGTAGCGCTGGGGCAATTTGCCAACATCACTCCACTTTCCCATCATTTGCCTCTTGATGGATAGTGTCAGAAGCAGCAGGTCAATCTCCCAAACAGTACACTTATGAAAGAACTGTCAAAGACCTGACAGCCAACATGTAGCTAATAAATGAGACATAGCCTGTATGTATATGAGTCTAAATACTGCACAGGCACACACTTCACAGTCTTCGCTGTGCATGTGCCAGTTATCCCACTCACTACAGTATTGTGGAAGTGTCCCCAGTCAGAGCCCTAGACAGCTGTTTTAGGCCCTAACACCAGCAAAGCATACCTATCCTCTTACCTCTTCAACTAATGAGATTCATCCCCAGATGGCTTGCCAATGGCATGCATTAACACTGCGTTTAACACATGGGCCCTCTGGCACACTGTGTAACACCTGGTTACGTAACACTGCGTTTAACACATGGGCCCTCTGGCACACTGTGTAACACCTGGTTACGTAACACTGCGTTTAACACATGGGCCCTCTGGCACACTGTGTAACACCTGGTTACGTAACACTGCGTTTAACACATGGGCCCTCTGGCACACTGTGTAACACCTGGTTACGTAACACTGCGTTTAACACATGGGCCCTCTGGCACACTGTGTAATACCTGGTTACGTAACACTGTGTATAACCCTAAAGTGGTTGTGAGAGACAAGGGCAGAGTAACCTGTAAGCATTTTCTGCTCCAATCTCATGCCTTGCAGAATGGTGAAGCGTGCACGTATATTAGCTGTTATTAACATGGACCTAACCAATGTATACATACACACATACACAGATACTTATGCTCACTGTTCTGGACTCACCTCCAGGTTGGAGCAGACTTTGGATGGGACATGGGAGAATTTCCCAGCGGAGGAGGAGGAGGGGAGGGGAGGGGCAGATGAATCAACCTCCTCTCTCTTCCTGCGACCTCTCTCAGCCAGCTGCCGAATCCTCCCACGATTGGCTCTGCTGTGGTCCTTGGGCTGTGGGGCTACAGCAGATCCTCCGATAAAGGACACTCCAAATAACGCAAAAAGCCTCTCAATGAAGGACACACGCTTACAGGTCCTAAACATTTTCCTATTAGTTAATAATATCCGTTTGGACACCATGATAGGCAAAAATTTATGTATAAAGTATTAGCGCCTAGTATTACACATGTAACCCATCATTATAGATCCATGGACCTACAGTACGGAGGCTCTGGGCACATTTTATGTGCCTGGTAAGTGTTAACCTATAAAAGGGGCCAACCACCCTATAAAGGGTGAAATGCCTGGTGCCAATGTGTCCATTACTGAGAGATTCCACTGCACACACACACACACACACACACACATGCACACACACACACACACACACACACACACACACACACACACACACGCACACACACATGCACACACACACACACACACACACACACACACACACACACACACACACACGGACGCACACGGACAATATTCGTGTGTATGTTGTACACAGAGAAAGTGTATGTTTGGAAACAAAAGCTGGGAACATGAGAGTAAGAGCACTCTGCTTCGATCCCTCGAGGCACTCTCTCTCTCCCTACCCCCCAGCACCCATCTCTCCCCGTTCAGATGCCACTATAATTATACAGGGCATGAAACCCATCGACAGAGAGTAAGCACATGGAGGCTATGTACATTGTATCCTGGTGTCAGAGACACACTGCGTGCATGAAAGAGTTTGCAAAGAGTCATTTGCATGCATTTTGCAAGTATATATACAACTACAGTGTATGTAGACATATATTGAAGACAGTACAGTGTTTGCCAGCCCACCGCCCCAGTTCTCAAGGCTGGGCACCCAGTGTCCTGCTCCCATGTCATGTGCATTTGTGTATGTGTGTTTTGTATGGGTTTTGAAGTTGTGTAGCTAAATAAGGTGGTGGTGGTTTCTCTATCTCTCTTTCTATGGCTGGTATGCTATACACTGTAATTTCATGGTGTTTAGACGCTTACAAGTTCAGTCAAGTGATAGCTGAGCAAAAGCCAAAACTCTAGCATCAGGTAATGAGCTCGAGAGATATACGAAAATGACACAGCACTCTGCATCAAAACTTGTTGTATACCGCATATTATTATAAGTGTGTATCTTTGCATACTTATCATCTTAAAAGACACTAGAGATATGTACGTACATAGACATGATTTGACATGACGAGTAAAGTGTCGTCTGAATTGGATGGCGAGCAAAGAGAGCCAATCTTCTGAATCATGCGGCACTATGTGTAATGACAGACTAATAGCAAAATGAAATGGTGCATGCGCAAATCGCACAAGGTTGCTTTTCTCGCCAAAAATCCATTGCATGTATATGTACCAGAGTGGAGAGTGGAGAGTGGGTGATAGAGAGAGGAGGACTCACGTTTCCTGGCATGCCCTGTATATAGCCAACTTTGTGAATCATACGGCACTATGTGTAATGCGAGACTTATAGCATAATGAAATGGTGCATGCACAAGGTTGCTTTTCTCGGCAAAATCCGTACGAGAGTAGACAGTGGGTGATAGAGAGAGGAGGACTCACGTTTCCTGGCATGAGGAGGACGAGAGAAGTCCCCTCCCTCCTGGAGCAGTCTGGCTATGGTTCCCTGACTATGACTCTCTGCTATGGCCCTCCCTTCCGGTCTCAAACGACCCTTGGGGGTGGGGTCTGGGAATGAGGAGGATGGACACTGTAACCACTGCAGTGAGGCCTATATATCTTCGACTTTGAAAATAGTGAACATACAACAAGAGATGGTATAAAAAGCTTAGGCTAGGAGACGAGATGCAGTGGTACAATTGGACGGGGTACATACACACACACACACATTAGAAGCGTAAATTGCTCTTGCACACACAACCCTTATTGTTGCAAAATAATGATTACGTGATTATGTGAGACTGCTGCTCTAACTCATTAGCTACTGTGGCACATAAAGATTACTCATTGGTTGTGGTTATAAGCCATAGTTTGTGACAAATAATGTCCCAAATTACAGCTACTAGCAAGTGGGAGAAGGACAGGCAAACTAACTATCCAAGAACACCTCTTGACAGAGAGTACAGTGCAACCAGAGGGGTTGCATCGTAAACCTATCATGCTATTAGTAAACATGTGGAGGGAAGGACCAGCCAGCTAACTACCCTGGGTGATTTGGACCATAGCTGGAGTGTGCAGTGAAAGCCAACCCACAATCCTGAATATCTTTACTACACAACAACCACACACTGCAATACATGGCCAGTCTCATCTTTGACCTCGCAACCTTCCCCTGGAAATGGGCACTGACCCTACTTGTTATCTCCAATAATTGGCTTTCAGTTGGCTTGGCCATAGCAGGGGGTGTGGTCTATCCTGTGGTTGTGTTCTGGCAGAAGGCTATTCATCCAACTGCTTAGCCTACAGTACATGACTCCTTGCAATAAGACTCGAAATGCTGTAGCTACACTTTTTTCTAATGATAATTTGTGCACATGCACAGTACTGCTGTAACTTGCAGTGAATAACACAACTGTGCATTGTACGTACTACTACGTATGTACCAACTTTGCTGTAAATCACTGTGGATCATGTTTACTTGTGCTGTATGCAGCGGTCTGGGGACCACACTACATTTCTATTTCCAAGACTCTGACTTGCGTTGTCTCATTAAAGCACAGTCCAATAGGACAAGAGTGCATTAGCAGGATACTCACCCTAATGTTTTTAATGCAATGTCAAAACGAGGGTTGCAGGAATACAAACTGTACTGTAGAAGATTGAGCTCACAGGAGCCTCTCAGCACGGCATACAGTGGATCAAAAAGCAAACACTTTCCTGTAGCGCGCAACTCTGTTTAACTCTGGGAGTCACTGATGCACAAACGAACGACACTGCTTTCATGCTATTGTTCATCAACTGAGCAATGCGACCAACCTCGTGATCTTCCCTTTGGGTAGAAGACAGTTGTGTGCTCATAGCCAGGGTCGGGAGACAGGGGAGAGAAAGATATTGCCATCTGACATGAGCTTCTTCAACCAGTGCTCACTACTTCTGCAACAGTGACCAAAAGCAAGAAATTCTAGTTATAGCGCACCAAAGAGAAGACAGGCAGTGCATTCTACAGTAGGCTAGTAAACGAGTCAGCGAGTACTTACATACTCACACGAACTGAACGAAGCAATTGACATCTGCGTGCAGCTAGCAACACGAAGTAAGCGTAAAGAATAGCAGTAATGGCGACACGCTGTCACGACAACCGCGACTTAGGGGGGAGGGGCTGCGGGAAATTGCGCATGCGCAAACCAGCTGTACAGTTGCATAATAGACTGGTGTCCAGAGATGTTGTAACAGGCGACTCTCTTAGCAAAAGCAATACGGAGGTGACACGCAGAAGTTGCCAACATTATAAGAAAATGAGAGGTTTAACGTACCAACAGTTTTGACCCTGTCACCTTCCTGCTCCAAAAATTGTGCATGTAGTTTTGTAAAGTTCGATTGATGGAGAAGTTAAAGGGCAAGTTACAACCAGGACTGCCATTATTATAGGCCCTGCAAAAAATACATGCTCCACCAACTCAGCAATGTACGGCCGGCTGTAGCTAGTAAGGCAAAATCATAAACATCAGTCTTATATACATGAATGACAATGTCATGTACAAAGAGAAAAGAAATCACACTATGTATGATGCATGAGATGATAATGAATATCTGTATGCATTCCTAAGGAGCCAGGTAAGCATTGGGTGTGGTCAGGAGGCCTGCCAGCTAGCACAGTGAAGCGAGTCGTACTGAGATATATAGAGCAGTTGGGGTCAGCTATAGACTGATAGGTATCTAGTTACAGCAGTGCTAAACAACACAGGAGAGCAGGTAAACTATCTAAGACCTGTGGTTTGGCTACAGTCATGGGCCCATGCTATATAGTAACTATCAACTCTGGTTGCACTGGTTAGCTTTATTCCACCTGTCTCTAATCTCTCCCCAAGTCTGTCATGGAGTCTTCCAAGGAGATGAGTGACATTAGCCAGCAGCCACCTCCAGAACACACTCCTGCCGCTAACGAGGAGGGGCACTCCCTCCTACCACAAGAGAGACTAAAGAGGTTCTTCCTCGCCGTACCTCTCCTCTCCTTCCTGGTGGGCGGGGCCTTGTTACTGGTGGAGGTGACGGTCATTGTGTTGGTGTTGGTGGCCCCAACAACGGTGGGTATAACAGAGGAGCTGGCTCTGTCTGAGGCCCAGAGAGGGGTGCTGGGTGCTGTGAGTGTCGTCATGCTAATCGAGGCTGTGGCCTTTGGGATCATCGATATCGGTACGTAACAATTATTGTTAGAATGCGCATAGAGCTGTGTCTAACGTGGTTCTGTCAATGCAATAAATGGAGAAGACTTGCTCATTTGGACGTGGGGTTTTGGGTCATCCATATTGGTACATTAGAAACTCAAAACAAAAAGAATGGCCTTTTTCGGGGAGTTCAGAACTGTATATAGTTCAGTATGTTTACTCGCCGCAGTCTGGTACTCCGGACAATGCTATTATCTAGAGCCAGCATTATAGCACTTACGCTACCTAGTGCTAATCTGGACACCTCATTCTTGCAACTCCCCATGACATTAATCTCCCCCCTCACTCCACCCATCTCCACCAGGGACCAACAGACAGAGAGCACGACTGATAAAGGCTCAGAGAAACAACTCCTGAGGCAACTCGACAGGCTCAGAGATAAGGCGGAAGATACAGACTCGGCAAAATCTCTCTTCTCCCTTCAGCAGGTAGTACTTGGAGTTATACTGACATTACATTCAGACTGCCATCTGTGTGCGTTTGTGTGTGTGTGTGTGTGTGTGTGTGTGTAGGTGTAGCATTGCTAATATACCAGTTACAGTCGCATGTCAACAACTGAGGTCAACGCAAAGCAAAGGCAAATACACCCAGGACAACTCTTTCTCCCAGGAAGGAAGAAGAGCTGCCCTGGGTGGGATTCGACACCCACAACACTCTGCAGTCTAGGCGAGCGCTCCGCTACTGGTAGCTAGGGAGTTCAAATCTACAATACAGCAAAAGGCAAACCTCAAACCGCTGTGCTATTGCACAGTAGCTATACTCTCACTTAGCATCAGACCGGGGTAATGCTGCCACAGTGCTATTGTATGGTGCACTGTAGGTAGGAGAGCTACTACAGGAGCAGATCCTGTCCACAGAGGGGATCAGACGTAGACTGAAACTCACTGTCTCTGACACCATCAAAGAAACTACAGACGAGGTATAATAGCTAGTAAAAATAGCTAGTACATAATTATAGCTTTTTAATGTATACACCATGAATCAAAAGTATGAAGTGCAAAGCAAACGTCAACGGCACCCAGGGCAAGAAAGGCTCTGAGTGGGACTCAAACCCACGCCAACACTCCACCACCTGAGCTCCCATCAACTGACAGGACTTTAACTCAAAAAAGCTAATGGCAAACCCCACTTTACTTGCTGCTGAACACAACACGAAATTCACATCTTAGCACATAGGATCAGGCTGGGGTACAACCAGACTACCACAATAGACCTTAATATTGAAAAAGGATTGACTGACAGCAAAAGAAGGGCGGTTTTATGTTGAGCCAAACGGACGTATAGTTATAGCTAAACAAAGTACGAGACTACGATGTGAGCATACCACTGCTTATGTGCCTACATTACTACCTCCAAGTTGCTGGCCAAGACTTGCATTAGCCTAAGAGCAATGGTATATAGCTATAATCCAGAGGCTGTGTACTTTTAGCCAAGTTGGTATTCCATCTTGAGCCAAGTTGATATGTAACATTTATTTGAGCAAGCCACGAAATGAAATAAATTATTCATATGCGGGGCTTTTATTAGGACATGATAAATGTAGCTAACTGTTGTTACCATACACCCACAGGTAAAGGAGCTCAAACCAAGAGCTGAACAACCACACACTGCAATACATGGCCAGTCTCATCTTTGACCTCGCAGCCTTCCTCTGGAAATGGGCACTGACCCTACTCGTTATCTCCAATAATTGGCTTTCAGTCGGCTTGGCCATAGCAGGGGGTGTGGTCTATCCTGTGGTTGTGTTCTGGCAGAAGGCTATTCATCCAACTGCGTAGTTACCACCTCTGCTACCCTTATAACATACAGATGTGACTCTATTTACATGCAGAATTGACACTGAATAGACTAGCTACCTAGAATACACTTTTGGTGCTTAAAGTACTTTTTGGCTAACAGCCATTACACATCACTTTACCAATGAATGCAGTATTGTGGAACCTTGCCCAGCCAGGTTATTCCATGCAGTCACATGACCCAGCATGTGCCGGTTATGGTGAGCTAGCTCGAGGGAACTAACTCTTGGTGCATTCTTTAGCTATTATTAGCAGTCAACCAAAAGATACATATATTCTGCATTCGACTACGTTTACGTTTATGCGCATGCGCAAGCGTGCCTTGAGAAGGCGTGGCTCCGGAGGGAGATCGAGAGCCGCCATAGCTCTGCCTGTGTTGGTGTGTGTCAGAGCAACTGTGATGGGTTTGCGCCGCTGCTTAATGACGCCGAAGAAACTCGGCCTCTGTCTGGTTCTGATGGTCCTCGGTCTCCTCGCGTTACTGATGATCAGTGTCCCCAGCACCACTAGACACGAGAGTGACAGAGCTTCTCTATCTAATGGCGTACATGTTTCCCAGCCTCCAAAGGCCTCTTTGTCAAACAATCGACTAAATGCAGAGGCTGAGTCTGAGAGAGAGTCTGTGGTTCCCCACTGTACTTTTGACGAGTGCTTCAACCTGAAAAGGTGTCCTCTGAACAAACCGTTTGCTGTCTACGTGTACAACTCTTTCGTCTTCCCTGTGACTCGTAATGTGAACCAGCTATCGGAGCTCGTGACTAGCTTGATCACGACGGGTTCTTACACTTTAGACCCGGACGCTGCCTGCGTGTTTGTGGCTGTCATTTGGAACAGTGGAGAAGGTGTCCCGCTGGATATGACGTCAAATATTGAATCGCTTGCACATTGGGGACACGATGGTGAGAATCATATTCTGATAGAGCTTTCGACTGACCAGAGCACTGCCAGCCTACTGGAGGGTGTTTCAACGGGCAGAGCCATCGTTGCAAGGAGCTTCATCTCACTAACCAGACCATTTCGTGCTGGCTTTGATACCTTGCTTCCTCCTGTCCTGACGACAGAGGTGCAGTTGAAAGACTTGCCCCTTCTTCTCCCTGTCTCTCGACAGAACTTCATCTACTTTCACGGGGACTTTGCCTCAAATTATCGACCAAGCTCGAGTTCCATTTCTCCATCAGACATTAACAACCTCAACCAATCCTTGAAAGGGAAAGGGAAGGTGGACATTATGCTAGAGTGCTCCTGGTCAAAGTCTAAGTTGCCTCTGAGAGAGATAAGGGAACAGTGGAGATTGTGTGGAGATCAGAGTTCTCGTTTGGAGCTCTGTTCCAAGTCCATGTTCTCCCTGGTCCCAAGTCCAGACGGCCCTGGACCTGGACTCGGAGTCTGCACTTATACCAGACTAATAGAATCTCTAATGTGTGGCTCTATACCAGTGGTCATTGGAGTGGGGATGCTCCCATTTAACGAAGTGATTGACTGGAGCCAGGTGGCCATATCTATTCCTCTCGGGAGACTACCTGACCTACACTACATCCTGCACAGTGTCAGCAGCGAAGATATTCAGAACCTAAGACTTCAGGGTCGGAACCTCTGGTACAACTACTTCCGTCTCTCCAATAACAGTCATCCAGAGTGCCCTCAACATAGTGAGGTCCAGAACGCTCCACCCACCTCCCCTTGCTCCCGACTTTGCCTGGAAAACTCTCCTCTCTAGAACCACCAGTAGCAGCTACGTACAAATACGCTCTCCTGTCCACACTCACAACTTCACCACCTACTCGTCCAGTTTCTGGAACAGTGTCCCCGGTCCCCATTTCTCCTACCCCAACACTCCCTTCAAACCTGGGCCTATCTCCGGCTCCCAGTTCAGTGATCTCGACAACGTCGCACTCTCTGATCTTCATTCACACGTGGTCGGTGGAAAAGTCGTCACAGGTTCTGCGTTCGCCCGACACATTTTTGGGAATTCCCCCGAAGAGCAGTTTACAGTGATACTGTTGACGTACAAGAGGAACCAAGTCCTTGCTGGGATTTTGGATAAATTGAAAAACGTACCGTTCCTGAACAAGGTGATTGTTGTCTGGAACAATGGCGAAGACCCACCTACTATGATGTGGCCCAACATAGGAGTACCTATTGAGGTGAACACGGCTGTATTATAATTGTACCCATTACTATCCCCAGTAGGAACTTTATAGGTGAGACGAGAAAGCATGATATCGCTTTTTGGGAATGTTTTAAACTGCGACCCTCTTCGTACCTTACTTCATATGCTGCCATTTGTATCCTGAACAGCTATATAAAATAATGTGAAGCTGCCTGTGCCTCATTCTAAAAAGCTTTGACACTCCACTTGGCGACACTGGTGCATCCTGTATAAGCATTTTCCCCGTATTCTCTCTGCATTATGCGCCTGTTCACGTGCACGGGGAAATCGAAATAGCCATGTCTTCTTTGGGGGTAAAGTCATCTTTTCAGAATTACTGTAAGTGTAGATCTTTAAGTACATGTGCATACAGTATGTACAGATACACCATACAATAATAATACTCCATCCTTAAAATAATCTGGGTGTATACAAGCCTAGGATTTATTGAAAGGCAACGTGGCAAGAGCCAAATTTAGAAACTGTTACAGAAGCCAAATTCTTTCTCTGGGCTCTATTGTAAATTTAGTCTTAATGTACTGCCACATTGCCTCTGAGCAATCTTTCAGTGAACGTCCACCACACACACATGCATGCACACGTAACCTGCCCTCTCTCTCTCCGTTACAGCTATAGTATCTCTTTCTGTCTTTATCTAGTTCCATATATTACGTATTATTACGTTTTTCTCTCAGGTTGTCCGTGGTAAGGGGAACAGTCTCAATAACAGGTTCCTGCCATTCTCAGAGATAGAGACTGAGGCAGTGCTCTCTCTTGATGACGATGCCTCTCTTACACCTGATGAGATCCAATTTGGCTTCAGGTAATGGTAAAATAGACCACCTTTCTGTTTTTAGCCCAGAGTGAAAATTGTCACCTTTAGCAATTTGGTGAGCAATTTGGTGAGCTAAGCTTCACAGATTTATGTGTGTATGTACATCGTCCAGTTAATGTGCATAGGTACTGGACTCACTTCGCTTACTTATACTAACTGATACTCAATAGTATATTATTGCCTTTCTTTGCTATCTGAATCTTTGACGTCATTGTGGTTCAACGGAAGGGTTTGGCGTGAGGCCAGGGACCGCATGGTGGGGTATCCAGGACGATCCCATTCCTATGACGTCAAGCGACAGAGTTGGGTCTACAATAATGACTATGACTGTGAGGTGTCTATAGTGCTCACTTCAGCCGCCTTCTTTCACAAGGTTTTATATACTTACTAATGTACCTGTGAATTAACTGATTGCATTCGGATGGCTATGAATAAGCCATCGTGAATATAATTAATGAGGCAGAAAACAATTGGTTGGGAGGAAAAACGGCAACACCAGCTACTGAACTTGCCATTCTCGAGTTAGTAAAGCAACGCGCTACCTCTACGCTACAGTCAGCAATAGTGTACAGCTAGGTCTTATACTATTATGTTACGTACAACGAGTTAAAAGGGGAGAGGAGTTGGATCACTTGCCTTCCATCACATGGCATACATAGCTAGCTACCTGTACAAGCTATGCTGTGCGTAGTGGAAGTGCTGGCTGCTTATTCCTTTGCAGACTTTCTGTTTATAGATAGTCTGCCCATTTTCTATTTCTTGCCACAACTGAACCTCCGAACAAGGGACACTATGGTGCCAACTATTTTGTCCCTTGTAGAGAGGTCGTCCCTATCTCAGAGGTCAACATTGGGTTAAAACAAGTGTCCTTTGTAGAGAGGTCGTCCACATCTCAGACTGAGAGGGTCCCTTATCAGAGGTTCCACTGTAATAACTGTGTTCAAATTTAAAGCAACAGCATAAAACATACCCGAAGAACCTGAGGCAAGTTGTGTTCAAATTCCTCTGTAAATATTTGCCATTTCTGACATCATTTTGTCCCATCTCTCTCTGTGTGTTCTGCAGATATACCTCTACCTGTACTCGTACTGGATGCCGCAGGAGGTGAGGGACATGGTGGACCAGTACATGAACTGTGAGGACATTGCCATCAACTTCCTAGTCTCACACATCACCAGGAAACCTCCCATCAAGGTCTCTTGCACCACAGTAGGGTGTAGTACAGTGGAACCTCCGATAAGGGACCCTCCGAGATAGGAACGACCTCTCTACAAAGGACACTTGTTTCAATCCCATACTATAATACTTTAGTGTATTCTTTTGACCTCTACCCAATAAGTAGACCGATAATTTTAGTATTAATTTACACGTAAAATTCACTCTCTCCTGTTACAATCATAGGTGACATCGATTCAGTTCTTCCCCTGCCCCACTTGCCCACAGCACCTCTCTGCCAACAATGACCACTACAACGAGCGTCACAATTGTCTCAATATCCTCACCGGTATCTATGGCTACATGCCCCTCCTCTACACACAGTTTCGCGGTGGCTCTGTCCTCTATGAGGCCTCTACATCCAAAAGATGCTTCGATCGTATCTGATCATTTTAGTGAAATAATCATGCACCTTTGTGGGCAATATTATTCATTTGTTACCATTTTTTGGTCACCAGTATATATTGGACGTGGACTTTGTACTCTGCTACTGTTTACAGTGAAACCTATGAAAATCATATAATATGATGAATAGCACTAATAAAAGTGTGAACCCTGCTAGCTACTGTAGCTAGGTAGCTTTAGGAATGACTAAATTTAAAAGAAGTGCCTGAGGCAATTTGGTGTATTCGTCATGGCATGGAAATGACGTAATACACAAAATATTATTATGGGGTAGAAAAGCAAAGGCACAACAAACAAGTCAACTACACCTACAGACTAGAGCTGTCCTATGTGGGATTCGAACCCACGACACTCTTGATGGAGCTACAGGCTACGAGCAGTACCAACAGGCTATGAGGACGAGGGTTATTTCAATTGTGCTATGTGATTGCTTTGTTATGCTCTCTCCATTCACCTTGCAGTAATCTTTCCCCCAATTTCTTTATCCATGTATCATACCCTTTACACTAAGCTCTTCTACCCACAGATGGGATGCAGCTAGTCAGCTGTGTGTTGTTAGTAGAGTGAGAAACTTGCTCCTTGGACCATGACCAGCTGTGCCTGTGTCATCAGTTGCATCATGTGCGTTTTAGAGTTGTATGCTCGCCCATGCAACCCAGTCAAGCTGCTGAGTCCGCATCCCCTCCCCCTGAATGAATGGCATTTGCAAGGCTATACAAAATTATACAAGTGGGGGAGTTTACCAGTGGTTCAACTCACCATCCTTGGTTCTCCAGGCTAGGGCACCCTTACCATGCTAGCTGGATGCTGCCCTTTGCTAGTACGTGTTTGGTACTCACTGACAGGCAGGCTAGAACAAAATGCGGCCAGATGTGAGCACAGCTGGGGCTAGTACACCTACTCTCAAGGCTCTAGGCTGCAAAGACGAGATGTGTCTCTCTTCCTCTCTCTTAGTCTCTCTCTAGCCTTCTACGGCATGCAAAAAAACTTGGAGCTGTTCTCATGGGAGAGTGCCGGATGTGGATAAGTGGGACTCATGTAGCTAGACCTTCGGACTAATGTGATATATACTAGGAATTTATGTTCATGAGTAGTTATGTATTGGTCCACCATATATACCCTGACACCTCTTGGGGCATCCAGTAGGAGAGACTACACAGAGACAGACAAAGGTGTGAAGCAAACACAACAAAGGAATGTGCTTGACTTTTATTGACAACCTGTTAACGAAATTTTGATGAGATGTCATCAGCAATGAGCATGCTCGGGTTCCTGTGTAACGTGAGTATCCACCAGTTACCGCACACCCGCGTTAGGGACGCCACACCACCCATGAGGGCGCGCAAAGCGGATCTAGTCCATCCAGTCGGTAGCGAGCCACGCCTTCTTTCGCGAATTGCGCGAGCGCCGTGTACAACAGTTCAACTAAAATTTACGATGGGGCGAGACCTAGGGTCTGGAGTTGAGGCGTGTGTATAATGAGGAAGAAGTGGTACGGATGTGTGCTAGTTGCTTTTGCAACTATCTGTATCACTTTTCTGGCAAGAGTTCATCTGCGCATTTCACCTTTTGAGACTGAAGATTCAGCATCTAATGAGCCCCAAAGCAGAGTTTTCTTATCTGCAGCAAAGGTAATAAGTTCAACGGCAAGTATCCGCAGTCCGCAAAGTGCACCGAACTTCACCATCAAGCACGAAAGCAGAATTCTTCAGGAAACAAATTCAGCAACAAGTCGCCCAAAAAGTCACCAGGCCAAAGACGAAAGCAAGGCAACAAATCCTACGACAAGTCGCCCAAAAAGTACGCTGACCAAAGACGAAAGCAAGGCTGCAACAAGTCGCACAAAAAGTACGCTGACCAAAGACGAAAGCAAGGCAACAAATCCTGCAACAAGTCGCCCAAAAAGTACGCTGACCAAGGGCAAAAGCAGGGCAACAAATTCAGCAACAAGTCTTCTCAGAAGAAGTCCCGCCACCAGTACTACTAAGAATACCAGTCTCCAACATAATGTTACCAAACATTCAGGAAGTATAAAGGCTCCTCAGAATTGTGAGCAGAAGAACTGCCTAGAAAACTTACCTGAGAGCGATAAGCATGCACTGAAATCATGTGAAAATCGAACCAGGAAGGGTTACAACGGGTCGATAAGCGAGAGTGACTGCAAGTTCCTGTCCAACAACAAACGTCGTGCTGTTGCATTGGCCAGTGCACCTGGTGCTGGAAATACGTGGACCAGAGGTCTACTTGAGAAGGCTTCAGGCATTTGCACGGGGTACCTATACTGTGACACAGCCATGAGAGCTCATGGGTACGTTGGAGAGAACGTCAAGACCGGGAGAGTGCTGGTGGTTAAGACACATTCAATTGTACCCCGTTGGGGTGGAGATAAAAATTTCTACTTCCTATCATCAGAAGCCCCCTATTCAGCGGCTGTGTTTATTCTTCGCAACCCTGTCGAATCTGCAGTAGCAGAGTGGAATAGGTATTCATCAATGGTTGTTGGACAAAAGAATTCATCAATAGCCAAACATGTGCACACGTACACTCTTCCTAAGGAGTCCTTTGGTGAGTCGTTTATGTCATGTTCAGTTGACTACACGACAGTCCTTGTGTACACTCAATTTGTGCTGATACAACAGTTCTACTCTGTAACATAACACCTTACTTGTCGTTCAATGTCTAATGTTTTGCTGTATACAGATGAAGAGAAATGGGATACGTTCTTACGCCAGTACATGAGGCACTGGAGCAGTCGCCTGCTACAGTGGATAATCTACCAGGACAAACACCCGATTCACATCTTGCGATATGAAGATCTCAAGCAGGACACTGTAGGGGAAATTGAAAAGACCCTTGATTTTCTGGATGTTTCGTATGATCCAGAGACAGTGAGAAAGAAACTAAATTTGGACTACGCTGACTTCAAGCGAACGCATCATAGAAATCATTACAACTATTATTCTGTGGAGCAGAAAGAGTTTGTTAAGTCAGTGCTTCGGATGTGAATGTTGCTGCAAGGAGAGCAAAAAAGGCACATCTTCTCCGGCTTGATGAATATATACCAGCATTCTAGTTCCGCCAATCTCAAACAAGGATTGTGTTAGATGAACAGAATGGTGTAATCTGGCTTACTGTATAGTGTAATCCTATCTATATACTAATAATGTAATTGTCTTCTTGAAGCCCTCAACGAAACGTGCGACGAGACAACAAAGAGCTATATCCAAAGCGAGCGCTACACACTGGCTTTATCACTACGTATGGTAGTAGCTACTTAGTATTATTGAGATGACACAGGTTGTCCTGCATTATGCCCATCACTTTCTGCTTTGTGAATTAGTGGTCAAATATTTCAACAGAGTGAATGGAGCAAGCCGACTTGTATGAAGTCGCCCCTTACAATAGGCAGGGGACCGACGTAATGAATGACAGAGTAATTACTGATGATGAACTAGAAATTGCCGTGGAATGAGGCACACCTTTTGAGTCGTAGGTTGAGGAGCTCAGTCGCGTGGCTGACTTGCTCTGGACTCAGTTGGGGATGTCTCTAAGGTGGAGGGAAAAGAGAGGGAGGGAGAGGAGAGGAGGAGGATAAGGGGTGAGGGAACAGAGAGAGGGAGAGTGTAAGGGGGGGTGGGAGAAAGTAGGGAGAAAAAGAGTGAGTATGTTAATATCTAGGGCTACGTTTGAAGCTGAAGTGAATGTTACTATAGTCATGGATGAACGCGTGACTCGAGTTGTGTATATAGTACTCCACACGGACGGTCATCACGTCTAAAAAGCTTGCGTGTATATACAATAACTTGGACTAAAATGGACTTTAGACGTTATGAAACGCGGTGTACCCAATTTTCACACACAGCAGTTCACTGTCGAGTTCAGTTCTAATACGTACGCATGTGCTATAAGAGAAACACGCGGACTGGCGTCATTCAGTGTGTGAATAAGGACATAGATACACACGCCATGGTGATGGGATATAACAAACATGTTTATAGCTACATACACCACATGTACATGTACATGCATTCCGACCTGTCTGTGAATAATCACTAAGTTACGTTTGGTCTGAAGCTAAAAATAACAGCTACCAATACTCAGCACGTACATATATGTACCGTGACGTGGACTTACAGTTGCAAAGTGTCTATGTGATTTCACCACCTGTTCCAGTATAAACCGGACTGACAGGTTCGGTTCAGGAATGTCCTGTTCTTCCAGTCTCCTAACCCACTTTCTCTTGAACTCTTGAAGATTCTTCCGGAAGCTTCCGCTCGCTTCCCTTCCGTATCGCCTCTGATGAACCAGAAAATGAGCCAGTGGCGTCCGTGAAAGGATACACACAGGCCCGCTTAGCCTTTGAGCGAAAGATTTCCGGAAGCTTCCGCTCGCTCCCTTCCGTATCGCCTCTGATGAACCAGAAAATGAGCCAGTGGCGTCCGTTGAAAAGGAGACACACACCGACTTAGCCTTTGAGCGAGAAGATTCTTCCGGAAGCTTCCGCTCGCTTCCCTTCCGTATCGCCTCTGATGAACCAGCAAAGGAGCTAGTGGCGTCCGTTGAGAAGGAGACACACACCGACTTAGCCTTTGAGTGCGTGTTTGCGTGCGTGCGTTGATAATTGGCGAAATGACAAAAGGCACCTAAAAGACAGCAGGTGGCTTTGCGGTATCACCACGTGCAGCCAGCTACAGCAGTAGCTACAGTAGTAGCTACCTACAGTAGGTGCTCTAATGTGTACATGTGACTGTGTACATTTTCCTCTTGGCATCACATGGTCTATTGTTACATGGTACATGTAGCCTACACATAAGTGCAGTGTAATGGTCGTCAGGGGACAATGTAAGCGGATGGGCGAGTTCATTAAAGTTCGTACACTACGAGAATGCTGTTCGATATTCTCAAGTATCCATGCTGTGCTGTCTCATTTTTCACCACGTCAAGTGGCGGTACCTTTGATCCAGGCTTAACAACGCAAATCAATGCAAAGTTACCACATAACTATGCCCGTCCTTTTGAAGCATTCCAAACACGAATAAAATGCAGCCATTATATGCACACACACACATGCTTACATTGGAAGCAGCTTGTCGTGCACGATTGCGGCCTGTCACAGAAAAAAAGCAAAGACACCTAATAGCAGCTAGAGAGACATAATACAGTCAACAGTGCATAAATACTGCATGGGCCAGCAATAGGCAGGTATTCGAGTTGAGACACATGTTGGGGTAGGTGGTGACACAGCCATTAGACTTCTGACGAGATCATAGGCCAGGCCGCATCCTGTGTTCCCCACTCCTTCCTGGACAAGCTAAATGGGGCCTTGTGACTAGCCAGACAATCTGTTGTCTCATTGCTTCACCCTTGTCCGCCATGCAACCAGCTTCCTGCATCCACTATAATTATAATAATATTACCATACGTATATACATTGCTACACAAGTACTAAAAGATCAAGTTTGCCAAGTAGATACACACACCTGTCAAAGTATACACATTCTCTTTTTGTGGCTCAGGTATGGTAGAGCAGTGCAACTGTTATTGTGTGTGCTTTGCTTTTCTTTGTTGTTTTTTTAAACTGTGTATGTAATTTATGCTGCCAACTACGTATATTATACAGCGTTATTTTTGTCTCAGCATGGTTCTAACTACTTTATAAGAACAGCGCTGCTACATGGTACCAGACTGGCAAGAGTTATAAATCAGGCACTTATTACAAACACATTTGTAGTCCAACTTCAAACAACCCGGTGCTAGGAATATACGCTGTATTCTGAGCTGTGGGCTGCGGGCTGCACCGGTATCAGTATTGGACAGGAAGTCCTTATCACAACATCTAGCGCTAGGCGTAGTGCAAATTGTCTGGCTTCCAAAGTTTACACAACAGTCATTAGTAATTAGTGCAAGATGACACAGCAGAAATTCAGCATTGTGATTGGCTAGTTGGACTACAAATCAGTTAACGTCAGGCGTCTTGGCGGGTACAGGAAATCCTCCTCGGCTGTTAACTATACCGCGCCTCGGGCTACGCCCTCGTCCGGTATAGTCAACAGCCTCGGAGTATCTCCTGTACCGCCTCGCCGCCTATACGTTAACTAATACGTATTGCCCTACATAGTGAGTGCATGTTCACTAGGGCAAATGTGATCAAGATTGAGTCTAGAGGCAAATGTGATAATAACTGGAGATTTCTCTGCCTTGCCCACCAGTGTCTGTGGTAACACACTGCTGTCTTCACGTAGGTCTTTGCTGTGCGCCTCTACTAGGTGCAGTTGCAGGTTTTCTCTAGTGTGAGCCAGCTCCTTACTAGAGAGGCTTGTGCCTGGCATGAACACACGGGTTTACTATAGCTTCCTAAGTGAGCCTCAGCTAGAGTGGTGCACCATCTGGTAGCTAGCTAGCCCCATAGCTGCTGTACTGCTCTTTGGGCATCCAGTAGGAGAGACTACACAGAGACAGAGAAAGGTGTGAAGCAAACACAACAAAGGAATGTGCTTGACTTTTATTGACACCTGTTGAAAGAAATTTTTATGAGATCAATGAGCATGCTCGGGTTCCTGAGTAACGTGAGTATCCACCAGCCATGAGGGCGCGCAAATCGGATCTAGTCTTGCCAAACATCACGAATAGCCCTTTTCACGTAAAGGACTGAGGAATTCATTAGCTCATAATTGAACGTGACGCAACTCCCGGGGTACATTCCTCCGCCATTTTGTTCACGTTTTCTATGCAGGTCTATGGAGATGATGTCACTTTTCCAAGCGCCGTAGTTAGCTTACGCGATGTTCTATTTATACGGTATTAAAAAAAACTTTGAAACTTGTGCTATTGAATGGTCCATATTGCGTGTGCTAGGGTTGTACGACTTGGGAGATACGCGCTCGGAAAGACGGTGGGTATAAGAGTTGCTAAGGTCTATACTGCTAGTGAAGTGGCCGTTTCTGTACCTGACTTACCGTAGCTAAGCTCTGTGAAGGCTGGGAACCTGTATATATTACTATCGCTTGTGTTTATGGCTATCAACTCTTACCAGTGGCTCAGGATCCCGACGTTATAGTCACCGTCTTTCCGAGCGCGTATCTCCCTAGCCATAGCAATATAGACAGGTTCCCAGCCTTCACAGAGCTTAGCTACGGTCTAAGTCAGGTACAGAAACGGCCACATCACTAGCAGTATAGACCTTAGCAACTCTTATACCCACCGTATTTCCGAGCGCGTATCTCCCAAGTCGTACAACCCTAGCACACGCAATATGGACCATTCAATAGCACAAGTTTCAAAGTTTTTTTTAATACCGTATAAATAGAACATCGCGTAAGCTAACTACGGCTAGGCCTGAGACTATTATTCCCACAATTTGTCCGGATATTCTATTCTGAATTTCCTACTCCACATGCCTATTATTCTTTAAAGTTTACCCATTATTCACAGAAATTTACCTATTATTCTGCTTCAAAAATGAAAAAAAACAGTACTACAGAGCAGGCACATAAATAAACATCACGATCATTGTACTGCAACATGACGCGCGTCCACTCGGCACTCACACTTCGCCCTTCCGCGAGTTCCGAGTTGCCGCCGTTGCCCGCTCGTCGCAACTTTCAACCTATTATTCTTGGAATTATTCTTATTCCCAGAGGGACATATTATTCCCGAAATTATTCCGGATTAATCGACGCAGGCCTAACTACGGCGCTTGGAAAAGTGACATCATCTCCATAGACCTGCATAGAAAACGTGAACAAAATGGCGGAGGAATGTACCCCTGGAGTTGCGTCACGTTCAATTATGAGCTAATGAATTCCTCAGTCGTTTACGTGTCAAAGGGCTATGTGGGCTTGGATGCGCATCCAGTCGGTAGCGAGCCACGCCTTCTTTCGCGAATTGCGCGAGCGCCGTGTATATATATACAACAGTTCAAGTAAAATTTCGATGGGGGCGAGACCTAGGGCCTGGAGTTGAGGCGTGTGTATAATGAGGAAGAAGTGGTACGGATGTGTACTAGTTGCTTTTGCAACTATCTGCATCACTTTTCTGGCAAGAGTTCATCTACGCATTTCACCTTTTGAGACTGAAGATTCGGCATCTAATGAGCCCCAAAGCAGAGTTTTCTTATCTGCAGCAAAGGTAATAAGTTCAACGGCAAGTATCCGCAGTCCGCAAAGTGCACCGAACTTCACCATCAAGCACGAAAGCAGAATTCTTCAGGAAACAAATCCTGCAACAAGTCGCCCACAAAGTACGCTGACCAAGGGCAAAAGCAGGGCAACAAATTCAGCAACAAGTCTTCTCCGAAGAAGTCCCGCCACCAGTACTACTAAGAATACCAGTCTCCAACATAGTGTTACCAAACATTCAGGAAGTATAAAGGCTCCTCAGAATTGTGAGCAGAACTGTCTAGAAAACTGATCTGAGAGCAATAAGCGTGCACTGAAATCATGTGAAAATCGAACCAGGAAGGGTTACAACGGGTCAATAAGCGAGAGTGACTGCAAGTTCCTGACCAACAACAGAAGTCGTGCTGTAGCATTGGCCAGTGCACCTGGCGCTGGAAATACGTGGACCAGAGGTCTACTTGAGAAGGCCTCAGGCATTTGCACGGGGTACCTATACTGTGACACAGCCATGAGAGCTCATGGGTACGTTGGAGAGAACGTCAAGACCGGGAGAGTGCTGGTGGTTAAGACACACTCAATTGTACCCCGTTGGGGTGGGGATAAAAATTTCTACTTCCTATCATCAGAAGCCCACCTATTCAGCGGCTGTGTTTATTCTTCGCAACCCTGTCGAATCTGCAGTAGCAGAGTGGAATAGGTACTCATCAATGATGTTTGGAAAAGAGAATTCATCAATAGCCAAACATGTGCACACGTACACTCTTCCTAAAGAGTCCTTTGGTGAGTCGTTTGTGTCATGTTCAGTTGACTACACGACAGTCCTTGTGTACACTCAATTTGTGCTGATACAACAGTTCTACTCTGTAACATAACACCTTACTTGTCGTTCAATGTCTAATGTTTTGCTGTATACAGATGAAGAGAAATGGGATACGTTCTTACGTGGGTACATGAGGCACTGGAGCAGTCGCCTGCTACAGTGGATAATCTACCAGGACAAGCACCCGATTCACATCTTGCGATATGAAGATCTCAAGCAGGACACTGTAGGGGAAATTGAAAAGACCCTTGATTTTCTGGACGTTTCGTATGATCCAGAGACAGTGAGAAAACAACTAAATTTGGACTACGCTGACTTCAAGCGAACGCATCATAGAAATCATTACAACTATTATTCTGTGGAGCAGAAAGAGTTTGTTAAGTCAGTGCTTCGTGGATGTAAATGTTGCTGCAAGGAGAGCAAAAAAGGCACATCTTCTCCGACTTGATGAATATATACCAGCATTCTAGTTCCGCCAATCTCAAACAAGGATTGTGTTGGATGAACAGATTGGTGTAATCTGGCTTACTGTATAGTGTAATCATATCTATATACTAATAATGTAATTGTCTTCTTGAAGCCCTCAACGAAACGCGCGACGAGACAACAAAGAGCTATATCCAAAGCGAGCGCTACACACTGGCTTTATCACTACGTACGGTAGTAGCTACTTAGTATTATTGAGATGACACAGGTTGTCCTGCATTATGCCCATCACTTTTAATCTCATGACGTACGACATACCAAGCAAAATGTACTACGAAAAAGCTACAAACTGATTTATATTCAAAGTAGGAAACAAACTACAATAGCAGGCTTCGTAGCACGCATAAAGCTCTCTGTCATTTTGCTAGAATGCTACTTTGCTTTATCATTCTCTCTTTTCTCTGGTGCATGCATGTGTACCACGGATAGTACAGACGACCTAAAGGATGCATGTGGTAGTTCTCTAGCAGTATAGTTAGATTAATGAAACAGAAACTTCTGTTGGTGCTATGCTAGAGTGCTGTGTGTGTCTTTGGGCACAAGACCTAGAATGTACAGGGGGCTGTAATTTATACACGTAAATGCATGGGAGCATTGAACACAGTAGTGCATCAGTGTAGCCCAAAGGGCTCTTACAGCATATAAACACGATTACTGAATATAGAAGTGATACCGGTATGTGTAGGTGTACGATGTACATATGGAGGTGTTTCCAATGGTCATAATGCATGAGAGCCGCCTCTGTAGCTGGAGTGATTCGTCCCATATAAAAGCTATACGGTAAATAGACGTCAATAGAGGCAGTTGCAAAGTTCAACGTCTCCACCAACTCTGTCATTAACTTTGGCTGTGCCACTGGGCTCACCTCCTTCCTCCTCTCGGCCAACTTTGAGAAGGTCTGTATTTACCTCTATTTTAGTCAGTGGCATAGGAACTATGGGTGTGCTTGGTGCTAGTGCAACTGTTAAATCCGAGACCCTTTAGCTAGCTACTAGATCGTCCAAACTACAGTCATTCTCCAAGCATTTTCATACGGCGAAAGGTAACACAGCACAAGTGCTAAACCAAAAATCGCTTAAGGGACACACACCTTAATGGACAGCATACACATACATAGCAAGAGAATGTACATATGTATGTCTAGTGAGACTGTGTATATACAAATGAAAAGCGAACAACAGATCATGTGTGACTCTTGCGAAAGCTTCCTGTCACATGGTATGTGTACATATAGAGTTACAAAGGATGTCAACACTCAAAACGAATGTGAAGGACCAAAGTCACAAAGGTATCTTTCAAGTGGAGATGAAGGTGAAGGTTGATAGTGCACTTTTCTTTGCCATACAAGTCTTCAAAACGCTTAAGTAAGAGGAAGTCTGCAGTAGTTATATCATCATTAGTAAAACTGTTAACTTAGCTCCCCCCTCCTCTCTCTCTCTCTTTCTCTCCCAGTTTTTTCCAGACGCTGAACCTGTGGCTGGAGGAGCCTCGTCTCCACGACGCCTCACTCTACCTCCCCGGTCTTCCCCAGCAATACAACTCCCAGCACCTGGCAGCCATATTTTCCCCTCCAGAGGTATATACATACACGTTGTACATGTATATATGTGCAGAGGAGGTGTAACAAACTGGGGGCAATATTTTTTTGCTTTCAGTTTTGTTTCTGGATGGAGTTCGTCCCGGTGTCGGAGGTCCAATAATTTTGCCCCTACCTACTCCTACCTATTTTTACAATTTTTCAGGAGAAGGAGCTGTACTACAATTTACTAGCCGTCCAATAATTTTACCCCTGCTCTAGCTACATATTTTTACAATTTTTCAGGAGAAGGAGCTGTACTATGGAGCCCCAGCGCCGAGACTGATGATGATGATGCACTCTCTGGTGGTCTCTGGATTTCCGAGGAAACACTTGGATGGATCATACCCAAACTCTTCCAACTGCCAATACCTATTGTGTTCTGATTCCCCACTATATGTAGGACACACCTTGGATTATCTCTCTCTTACTGTTCTTCGCGTTTTCAGTGGACGCTCATGTCCTACATGATAGAGGGTGGGGGTAGCAACACCATCAGCAGAGCGAAGGCTTGGCTCTACCGACACAAGGACGCCAGTCACCAGCTGCTGCAGGCCATTACCGACGTCTGGAGCACTTTCTATCTATTGGCGTATACATCTTGTGACACATCAGTCTGATCCGTATCGTCAAAAAAGCATGTACCCAAGAAATGGCTTAAATTGAATAATAATAGTAATTTTTCAAAATTCTTCTTGTTTTTGTTGTTCTGGCGTATCTCAAAAAGCACTTAAGATGTGGAGATGAAACATTGCACAGAGATTGGAATCTGTGACCCGGCGTGCAAGAGTAATTTCATTTGCTTGTAAAGGATGTTGTTTACATGTAAACAACAAACAACAACACAAAATAGGCCCAGGCCATACATTAAAATCATCATGTGCAAAAATCATTTCAAGGTAGGGATGGCTCGAAGCACCAAAAAGGAAGAAACAAGGGGTCATTACACAGAAACATTGATACATAACACATGGAGATGAAACATGGTATGCACATCATTTCCATGACGACAACAGGCATTTTTTCTCTATTATTAATTTTTATAGGGACTTGCCCCCTTCCACAGAGATAATACGTAGTAGTATATAAAAATCAGTGGAGACAAGTAAATTAAAAATCCTGCGAATTTAAAAAAGAGGCATAGCTATAGGGATGGTATAAAAAGAAAGGGAGATAAGATAGGGATGGGATACATGAAGCATGGTTAATGAACAGATTTGAGTACGCTGACACCCCAAACCCCATCACACCATCCCTATATTGTTGCCTAGGTGAAGTATTAAACATTCACCATTACAATACTCAGAACTTACAATGCACTACTGAGTAACCAACACCCTTATAGAGTCCAAGTGGAGTGTTTATAAAGGGAGTGTGGCAGTATAAATGTTACTTAAAACAACAGGGACACGGTGAAAGAATGCTTGCTTTAGTAACCTTTAGCCCCTATAAAAGTAGCACACCAGGCAACAATATAGGGATTGTGTGATGGGGTTGTGGGTGTCAGCGTATTCAAATCTGTTCATTAACCATGCTTCATGTATCCAATCCTTATCTTGTCTCCCTTTCTTTTTATACCATCCCTTAATATGCCTCTTTTTTTAAAGGGGTTAGCAATGATTGTGCGTGGGCGTATGTTTCAGATATTTTTTTCAATGGCACAGCAAAAACGCTGGTGATTTATAGTGAATTTTGGTATATTTCTCGGATTTTTCCTACATTGTTTTCCAAACTCATTAGCATAATTATTCATATTCCTCCTCAATACATTCTCTATGGGAGAGAAAACTCGTGCTAGCTACTGTAGGTAGCTTTAGGAATGAAGAAGTAGCTAAATTTAAAGGAAGTGCCTGAGGCAATTTGGTGTATTCGTCATGGCATGGAAATGACATAATACACAAAATAATTATGGGGTATATAGAAAGGCAAAGGCACAACAAACAAGTCAACTACACCTATAGACTAGAGCTGTCCTAGGTGGGATTCGAACCCACGACACTCTTGATGGAGCTACAGGCTACGAGCAATACCAACAGGCTATGAGGACGAGGGTTATTTCAATTGTGCTGTGTGATAGCTTTGTTATGCTCTCTCCATTCACCTTGCAGTAATCTTTCCCCCAATTTCTTTATCCATGTATCATACCCTTTACACTAAGCTCTTCTACCCACAGATGGGATGCAGCTAGTCAGCTGTGTGTTGTTAGTAGAGTGAGAAACTTGCTCCTTGGACCATGACCAGCTGTGCCTGTGTCATCAGTTGCATCACGTGCGTTTTAGAGTTGTATGCTCGCCCATGCAACCCAGTCAAGCTGCTGAGTCCGCACCCCCCCTGAATGAATGGCATTTGCAAGGCTATATACAGGTGGGGGAGTTTACCAGCGGTTCATTAACTCACCACCCTTGTTTCTCAAGGCTAGGGCACCCTTACCATGCTAGCTGGATGCTGCCCTTTGCTAGTACGTGTTTGGTACTCACTGACAGGCAGTGCTAGAACAAAATGCGGCCAGATGGGAGCACAGCTGGGGCTAGTACACCTACTCTCAAGGCTCTAGGCTGCAAAGACGAGATGTGTCTCTCTTCCTCTCTCTTAGTCTCTCTCTAGTCTTCTACGGCATGCAAAAAACTTGAGCTGTTCTCATGGGAGAGTGCCGGATGTGGATCAGTGGGACTCATGTAGCTAGACCTTCGGACTAATGTGATACTAGGAATTTATGTTCATGATACCTATGTACTGGTCCACCATAGATACCCCTGACACCTCTTGGGGCATCCAGTAGGAGAGACTACACAGAGACAGAGAAAGGTGTGAAGCAAACACAACAAATGAATGTGCTTGACATTTATTGACACCTGTTGAAAGAAATTTTGATGAGATCAATGAGCATGCTCGGGTTCCTGAGTAACGTGAGTATCCAGCAGTTACCCCACACCCGCGTTAGGGACGCATTAGCCACACCACCTCCCATGAGGGCGCGCAAAGCGGATCTAGTCCTGCCAAACATCACGAATTTGGCTAGGATGCGCATCCAGTCGGTAGCGAGCCACGCCTTCTTTCGCGAATTGCGCGAGCGCCGTGTACAACAAATTTCGATGGGGGCGAGACCTAGGGCCTGGAGTTGAGGCGTGTGTATAATGAGGAAGAAGTGGCACGGATGTGTACTAGTTGCTTTTGCAACTATCTGTATCACTTTTCTGGCAAGAGTTCATCTGCGCATTTCAGCTTTTGAGACTGAAGATTCAGCATCTAATGAGCCCCAAAGCAGAGTTTTCTTATCTGCAGCAAAGGTAATAAGTTCAACGGCAAGTATCCACAGTCCGCAAAGTGCACCGAACTTCACCATCAAGCACGAAAGCAGAATTCTCCAGGAAACAAATTCAGCAACAAGTCGCCCAAAAAGTCACCAGACCAAAGACGAAAGCAAGGCAACAAATCCTGCAACAAGTCGCCCAAAAAGTACGCTGACCAAGGGCAAAAGCAGGGCAACAAATTCAGCAACAAGTCTTCTCCGAAGAAGTCCCGCCACCAGTACTACTAAGAATACCAGTCTCCAACATAGTGTTACCAAACATTCAGGAAGTATAAAGGCTCCTCAGAATTGTGAGCAGAAGAACTGTCTAGAAAACTTATCTGAGAGCGATAAGCGTGCACTGAAATCATGTGAAAATCGAACCAGGAAGGGTTACAACGGGTCGATAAGCGAGAGTGACTGCAAGTTCCTACCCAACAACAGAAGTCGTGCTGTAGCATTGGCCAGTGCACCTGGCGCTGGAAATACGTGGACCAGAGGTCTACTTGAGAAGGCCTCAGGCATTTGCACGGGGTACCTATACTGTGACACAGCCATGAGAGCTCATGGGTACGTTGGAGAGAACGTCAAGACCGGGAGAGTGCTGGTGGTTAAGACACACTCAATTGTACCCCGTTGGGGTGGGGATAAAAATTTCTACTTCCTATCATCAGAAGCCACCTATTCAGCGGCTGTGTTTATTCTTCGCAACCCTGTCGAATCTGCAGTAGCAGAGTGGAATAGGTATTCATCAATGATGTTTGGAAAAGAGAATTCATCAATAGCCAAACATGTGCACACATACACTCTTCCTAAAGAGTCCTTTGGTGAGTCGTTTGTGTCATGTTCAGTTGACTACACGACAGTCCTTGTGTACTACACTCAATTTGTGCTGATACAACAGTTCTACTCTGTAACATAACACCTTACTTGTCGTTCAATGTCTAATGTTTTGCTGTATACAGATGAAGAGAAATGGGATATGTTCTTACGTGGGTACATGAGGCACTGGAGCAGTCGCCTGCTACAGTGGATAATCTACCAGGACAAACACCCGATTCACATCTTGCGATATGAAGATCTCAAGCAGGACACTGTAGGGGAAATTAAAAAGACCCTTGATTTTCTGGACGTTTCGTATGATCCAGAGACAGTGAGAAAGAAACTAAATTTGGACTACACTGACTTCAAGCGACCGCATGATAGAAATCATTACAACTATTATTCTGTGGAGCAGAAAGAGTTTGTTAAGTCAGTGCTTCTGGATGTAAATGTTGCTGCAAGGAGAGCAAAAAAGGCACATCTTCTCCGACTTGATGAATATATACCAGCATTCTAGTTCCGCCAATCTCAAACAAGGATTGTGTTGGATGAACAGATTGGTGTAATCTGGCTTACTGTATAGTGTAATCCTATCTATATACTAATAATGTAATTGTCTTCTTGAAGCCCTCAACGAAACGCGTGACGAGACAACAAAGAGCTATATCCAAAGCGAGCGCTACACACTGGCTTTATCACTACGTACGGTAGTAGCTACTTAGTATTATTGAGATGACACAGGTTGTCCTGCATTATGCCCATACATTTGAGATTTGTACGTTTCACTTTCAATCTTACCCATCTTCTGACACATCAGTCTGATCCGTATCGTCAAAAAAGCATATACCCAAGAAATGGCTTAAATTGCACAATAATAGTAATTGCAAGAAAGTTAATTTTTCATGTTTTTGTTATTCTGGCGTATCTCAAAAAGCACTTAAGATGTGGAGATGAAACATTGCACAGAGATTGGAATCTGTGACCCGGCGTGCAAGAGTAATTTCATTTGTTTGTAAAGGATGTTGTTTACATGTAAACAACAAACAACAACATAAAATAGGCCAAGGCCATACATTTAAATATCAAGTGGAAAAATCATTTTAAGGGGATATAGGGATGGCTCGAAGCACCAAAAAGGAAGAAACAAGGGGTCATTACACAGCAACATTGATACATGACACATGGAGATGAAACACGACAACAGGCATTTTTTCTATATTATTAATTTTTATAGGGACTTGCCCCCTTCCACAGAAATGATACGTAGTATATAGTAGCTATATAAAAATGAGTGGACACAAGTAAATTAAAAATCCTGATAATTTAAAAAAAGAGGCATAGCTATAGGGATGGTATAAAAAGAAAGGGAGACAAGATAGGGATGGGATACATGAAGCATGGTTAATGAACAGATTTGAGTACGCTGACACACCAAACCCCATCACACCATCCCTATATTGTTGCCTAGGTGAAGTATTAAACATTCACCATTACAATACTCAGAACTTACAATGCACTACTGAGTAACCAAAACCCTTATAGAGTCCAAGTGGAGTGTTTATAAAGGGAATGTGGCAGTATAAATTAAAACAACAGGGACATGGTGAAAGAATGCTTGCTTTAGTAACCTTTAAGAGTAGCACACCAGGCAACAATATAGGGATTGTGTGATGGGGTTGGGGGTGTCAGCGTACTCAAATCAGTTCATTAACCATGCTTCATATATCCAATCCCTATCTTGTCTCCCTTTCTTTTTATACCATCCCTATATGCCTCTTTTTTTAAATTCGCAGGATTATTAATTTACTTGTTGTAGCTAGTATGCATTCAATATGAGTAATATTGAACGTTAAATGAAAAAATTATTGAACTAGCATCAGCATCGTACCCATAGTGTAGACAAAAACTGTTCTGTAGAGGCTGTAGAGGCGACCACACCCCTTCATTCAGCTCCCAAGACCGCGGCCGCGGCATCGGGTGATGACGGAACTTGAAAGCTTCGGCGAGAAGGATGCCGGTCGCCTTGAAGATTTCCTTGACACTTTTGCAATCCATTTCGTTCGACTCCCCATTTTCATCGAAACTGAGGAATTTCGCATGGAATTCTATAAACCAGAATTTGCCTTCCGTGTCAGCGGATAGAACATCCACGCCGCCCTGTGTGAGGTGGATATCTGTGGCGAGTAGTTGGACAGATTGATCTCGTCCATGAATAAACTGGATGAGATCGCAGAGAACCTGAACGTGCACACCGACCGGTCAAACGGCCCAGCGACCCATGAAACGAGTTTCTCTGAGGGAGAAAGAGCCACCATCACGACCTTGTTCGATTACGGTAGCAAGAACTCGCTCGAGAAGCCGAGTGCGCATGGGTAGTAGGCTACGCAGTCGTATTTCTCTCGCTGCAGGTCGACGACTGCTACAAAGTCACAATAAAGCACATAATGTGCGCCCTATCGTTCTATACATGATTTATGGGAACTCGGGTTGTGGTCTCGAGACCCTCTCGACCACACTCCTCGTTCTAAACCACGTAGAATAATTATTATCTCGTTCACATAGCTGTCACATAGCTCTTGAAGGAGGCACCTTAGGATGTCGCAAATCTTCGTGGAACCACAACTCGTTTTTTTGCTAGCAGCTTTGCTATGCATAGGAGTGCCAAATCTTGCGACTTTTTTTCTTTTCACTGTTAAGCGAAGCGTTTAGCATCTGGCCTTGACTTTCCACTCCAGTTTAGCTATATACTACCATTTGAGTGACTCAATCCAAGGTATGTCAGGTTATTCGAATATGCACAAATACAGCCAGCTATGAGCAGTAGACAGTGGATAGCATTAGCCACGACACGCACCGAATTGTTGGTTGCCTATAGCTACTCCACAGATGCCTTTCTAAAATTCCGTGAAGAAAATCCGCTAAGAAATTAATTATAGCTACTTACTGTCGCCGTTTCTACAACGGTTTCTTGAGTTGGAGCGCTTTTTGATAGTCTGTTTGTCTTGAGACTTGGTAACGGCGTTTTACAGGGACTACGTTCCTCTCTCTTCCCTCTCTCTCGTACACAATTACTACGCAATACACAACACACATTGTGGCTAGGCACGCACAATTTTTGTCACGTGGTTCTCTTAGCTTTCGTAACTACGCAAGCTTGCATATGGAGAGGCTGACATGCAATTAGCTTTGCATCCCGCGCACCCTGCCCTGCGCATCAAACCATGCATGTATAGAAAACCCGCGAAGAGTTACAGAAGAGTACGAGACGGCTAGGGCAAGGGCCTAGAGTTGAGGCGTGCGGTAAAACATGAGGAAGAAGTGGTACGGATGTGGACTAATTGCTTTTGCAACTCTCTCTATCACTTTGCTGGCAGGACTTCATCTGCGCAGTTTACCTTTTGAGACTGAAGATTCGGCATCAAATGAGCCCCAAAGCGAAGTTTTCTTTTCTGCAGCATACTCATCGGCAAGTATCCGCAGTCCGCAAAGTGCACCGAACTTCAGCGCCGAACACGAAGGCAGAATTCTTGAGGAAACAAGTCCCCTGACCAAGCCCGACGAAAGCAAGGCGACAAATTTAGCAACAAGTCGCCCAAATCTGACCAAGGACGAAAGCAAGGCAACAAATTCTGCAAAACGTTTTCTCCAAAGAAGTACCGCCACCACCAGTACCACAATTCCGGCTAGAATGAATACCAGTCTCCAACATAGTGTTACCAAACATTCTGGAAGAATAAAGGCTTCTCAGAATTGTAAGCAGAAGAACTGTCTAGAAAACTTGTCTAAGGGCGATAAGCGTGCACTGAAATCATGTGAAAATCAAATGAGGAAGGGTTACAAGGGGTCGATGAGCGAGAGTGACTGCAAGTTCCTACCCAACAACAAACGTTGTGCTGTTGCATTGGCCAGTGCACCTGGCGCTGGAAATACGTGGACCAGAGGTCTACTTGAGAAGGCCTCAGGCATTTGCACGGGATACCTATTCTGTGACACAGCCATGAGAGCTCATGGGTACGTTGGAGAGAACGTCAAGACCGGGAGAGTGCTGGTGGTTAAGACACACTCAATTGTACCCCGTTGGGAAAGGGAGAAAAATTTCTACTACCTATCATCAGAAGCCACCTATGAAGCGGCTGTGTTTATTCTTCGCAACCCTGTCGAATCTTCAGTAGCAGAGTGGAATAGGTACTCATCAATGATTGTTGGACAAAAGGATTCATCGGCTGGTGAGACAGAACACCTACTGCGCTGGGCACTGCTTGCAAGAGTGTAAGTAAGTGCTTGAGTTGGACCAGCAGAAACAGCACACTCGATATAGCATGATAGTAATGTCTTTACTGATGTGACTTAGCAGCACTATGAAGAATTGCAGCCGGAGTTGATACTGCTGCCGACTGTCTGTTTCAGGAATCAGGACATTGCTGCAATTCCACCCTCTCCCTCTCTCTCTTCTCTCCATCTCTCTTCCCCATAGCTACCCTTTCTAAAGCCCTGTCAATTTGGCAAAACACTCTCATGACGGTGCTCTAGAGGCTCATGCCATTAGCTACTTGCCACTGCAACGATGCGAACGCAGACAAAACTAATTGTGAAAAAGTAAACCAGATATTTCAGTTGGTGTACAATCAGTGGTAGCCAGTAGAGACAAAGTCAGTCAAGGTTTAGAGGGCATTTTAGTCCAGTCAAAGTCAGTCCAGTCATCCAGGACTGCAGTACGGACCAGAGCCTCACACACCAGGTAGGGATCACTGTTACTGGACGGCCGTCTGTCCTCAAGGTAGCTTCGACCAGCTGCATACACACACACGTCATGTGGGAGAGGAGAGAAAGTTGTATATTGTCACTATCATACCAATGCCTACTAGATACTTGTATAATAGAATCTGTACATGTGCACAAACATGTATGTACCACACAGTATTGTACGTGACTCTAAACAACACCCACTGTAAACATAGAACACACTTTCATTGTAGTGGTCAAATGCTACAAGAGAGACTGCAACGTATTCTAGTCAAGTGGATAATGGTCCTATGCTAATATGTATGATGTCATAATTATGTCAACCTTGAGCGACTCCACGAGATATTCTGATGGAGGCTCCTCTGTGGGCCACTCCCCAGAAGAACTGGTCAATGTGAGCTGTCTCGTGAAGACCTGTCAGTCTACGACTGTTGTCTACTCCCTGGGTTGGAGAGGAAGAGGGGGGGGATAGGAAAAGAGAAGCAAAAGAATGATTGAAAAACCGGTTCACCACCATTCCATAAATCCAGACTCCATGCACCCTGCCATTCATATAATGCAGACTCTACTGTTAGCGAGTTATGAAGTGATAAAAGTGCCTGATTATAACCAAACTTCCCTTCCTTACTCTCGTTGCCCCCTCCCTCTCTCCCCTCCACTCACCCCACTGGGGTCATAGAGTATGATGTGTTCCTTGTGTCTCTTCTCCAGTCTCTGAATGGCATCCTCCATCACCAGCCACATTCTTGTCTCTTATTGTTATGGGCAATGTGCATTCAACAGTCCCAGTCTCAGTAATCGTCCGGGAAAGGGTGGAAATGCTGATGTCTAGGAGGTACATACGAACAGTCACATCTCATTGTTGGCTCTGCCCAGTATATACAATGTGTGTGCATGTGGACTTGAATCTTGAAAAACATAGCCAAAGCAAAATGTGTCTTACAATGTAACATAATATTGGAAGTTCTTAAAGTTAAGTATAGTCCCAGTGACAGAGCTAATGAGATGAGAGAGGTGGTATGGACATACCTTCATGCCATTCTCAGCTAGCCTTTCACCCTCGGCGCGCATGCGCACAGCGAGGGTTACGTTCTGTGTGTCTGTGTGTCTGTCTACGACTATTTTCGCACTACAGGCTACAACGACACCAACAGCTTTAGCGGTACATGGGCTAGAAAAATAAAAAGGCGATTTTGCTGCGTTCGAGAGAGCGCACGGTCGCTGCGTGGCCCAACCCATCAATAAGCGGTGCGCATGCGTGTATTAGACGCCGTATGCTGCTGGCTGGCTCACGTATATACCTCCACTTGCTCTGTGTACCTTGGAGGCACAAGAAGCCACAGCGAAGGGTGTGTATCGACTCCCGCATGCTATCTACTACTGTAGCTAGCCTGTGTCAGACTCTCTGCGAGCTACTAGCTGGAGACCGCGAGTAAAATACCGTACAGTGCGCTAATACTGTACTATAGCCCTATATAAATTCTTATGGACTTACGGGCGCTCTGGGCATATATATGTGCCCGTGGCTGGCTAAGGGTTAACACATGTCCGTCCCTGGCTGGGTGCGTGCTACAGGGTGCATGCGTGACTTGGGAGTGCTTTAAAAATAAAATTTTCAGATGCAGTCAGTGCCCATCTGAAATCGGATACCCCTTAGCCCTAAATATTGGGGGGAAGCTTATGAAACTTCAGAGTAGACGGCTGTCTGAAATTGTGGTGCCCTAACCTAACCTAACACAGAAACCATAGAGTAGAATAATAGCTCAATATTGCCCAATATAAGTTCCCAAGTAGAGTAGAAGTGAGTCAACAGTTAATGATGCATACACTTTGGACCACTAGGCAGCCACCACGTGGTGAGGTTGGCAAACGCCTCCCACAAGCTAGGACTATCTTCCTCTTCTTCCCCCAATACCCAACACACACACACACACACACACAGACAGACAAACCAACTACCGTAACCCTCGCGCCGAGGGTTAACAAATGCCTACATAATATTATATTATGACTAAAAGCCAATATTATGTACATGGAGGATGTCAAAGGTCTAATGCAACCATAGTACCTGGGTATATGATAGCCCACGAAACATGTTGCATGACAAAAGGAGTGTTGTCTATTGCATGAAACATGCAGACACATCGTTCCCATACATTTACGTTGCATGAGACCATCAACGTTGGCCTTTTCTCATACATTAGGATGCTGAGATTGACCACCAAACACATTAATTGACACTAGTTATTGCAGACCAGGAAGAAAGGGTCCCTATAGTGGTCACGCTCGCTCACCTAAAACGTGTTGTATTCATATAACCTGGAACCACCAAAGCACCACTGGGGAAGGTCGGATACCGAGGAGGGATGACAAGAGAGAGTTCTGGTCTTACATATCACATTCTGAAAACCACAAACAGCGACACAGAATGAAATGTGACACCATTCATTATAGATAATGTAGAGTCAAGTTCTATATAATGTGGATAACAAATTAATTTGCGGCCTAGACTAGAGCCACTGCTACCAGAAAGTCCACACATTTAGGAATTCAACAAAATACGTGCATATTGGCAAGGAGAAGCGAGCCAATGTAATAAAATGCTCAGACAATGCACACTATTCTACTACTATATATACTGGTGACAACAGACAGGTATACAGATTTGCCTGTCAACCACAATCAAATCGGTGTCTACTGATCCATCAACCTGTGACTCACAACAGTTTTCATGCTCCTGCTGGCCAAAACATACAAAACATTCACCTAGTATAACATGTCCATATACCCCGGTCTGCTCCTACATACTGAGTGAGAGTATACTGTGCCATAGTACAGTGGTTTGAAGTTTGCCTTGTGTTGTAGATTCGAACCCCTACGAGCTGAGTTGCCCTAGGAGCCTAGTAGGTAGAGCGCTCGCCTACACTGCATAGTGTCGTGGGTTCAAATCCCACCCAGGGCAGCTCTTCTTTCTTCGAAAGAGCTGTCCTGGGTGTAGTTGCTGTGCCTCTTTGCCTTTCTACCTCGTTGTTTTAATACACACACATGTGAAATCAGAAGCAGTGTGGCATTCCTTTGAACAAGCAACAGCGGCAAGATCACCTTACCCCTAGATTTAATGCCAGGTGATTCGTGGGAAGCAAGAGCTGTCCTGGGTGTAGTTGTTGAGCCTTTCTACCTCGTAGTTTTAATATACACAAATGTGAAATCAGAAGCAGTGTGGCATTCCTTTGCACAAGCAACAGCAACATTCCTTACCCCTAGATTTAATATCAGGTGATTCGTGGGAAGCAAGAGCTGTCCTGGGTAGTTTTAATATACACACATGTGAAATCAGAAGCAGTGTGGTATTCCTTTGAACAAGCCACAGCAATATTACCATACCCCATCAGGGGATTAGTGGGAAGCACTAGAGAATAACCATGCATGGTTGCTGTTACTACCCAACCACCCTGTACAAAAATGTAGGAAGCAATCCATTTCTTTATGCACAGTGTTTGCAGCTCAGCATACAGTACTCAAAAGGGCTCAAAAGGCTAAGGTGTACATAAAACTGGTATATACAGCTCATATGCAGGAGCAGACCAAGGTGGAATACACCCCATTTAGAAACAAGTCAACTTACATCCAAATGCACCTCATCCAACGTAAAATGTATGAACGCATTTGCTAGCAGAACAGAAAGAATGGGGTGACTCAAAACACAAACTGACTGCACACACCAACATTAGTGATAAATATTATTACCTGTCCAGTAGCGTCTATCCAGATGTATGTGGCTAGGGTCTTGTCAGTGGGGAGAAAGAAGTAGCGATCAGACACAGTCCAGTCCAGAGACCAAGGAAAACTGTGGTACCTGTATTGTATATACTACTCAGAGTTGTCTAAGAGGTATTGACATAAATACCTGAACTGGGAGGACTGGACATGTTGTGAAAAGTCAGACAACTCTCCTTTCCACCAACCATAAAGGGCAAGGCAATGTAACTAAACAAGAAAACATTTGACGTAACTATCAGCAAAATAAAAAGTACAGAGAGAACAAGCTTTTTGGTTCAGATCTTTGAGTGCACGGGTTACATCAGGTCCATCGTTTAGGTCAAAGGATAGCACATGTCCAAGATGTATGACTTCATTTTTATATGGAAGAGCAGTATTGTTGAATGTGATCAGTGGTAAAAAGCGACAGTTTTTGCAAGAACGAAAACAAATAAGCTGAGTTTTACTAGCATTAAACAACAAACCATATATAAACTGAAAATATCCATCCGTCAAAGAGCAGACGCACATGGAGCCAGGATAACAATATCACCTGCATAGCAGAGTGCTCCTGCAAACAAGAGTCTGCATGATAGCTCACTCTTCCAACAAACAATCCTGGTGAGAGGACTCCACCCTACTACGCAAGCTTGCATAATTATGGCCTGGAGCGGCTGATTCATACCAGTCAACTGTCCCGAATCAATTCCCTTTGATGTCGCCCGTCTTTCCGCTAGAGCGCTAGCTACAGCGGTCACGCTCGGAAAAAAGGCGTGGCTCGGTCCGCGCGTGCTTGAAATACGCATAGACAGCACGGTCACATCGATAAATACGTATCTCATTGTCATAACTCTTCAGTCACTAGTCAAATTTATGTGTCCCTATCTTTTACATAAAATCCCGAATTTTTGGAAGCATAGTCCTTCCTTTTTTACTGGGAGGTTGACAGGTATGCTGACATGCAATTAGTTTTGCAGCTATATACATCCCGCGCACCATGCACTGCGCATCAAACCATGCATATATAGAAAACCCGCGAAGAGTTACAGAAGAGTATATACGAGACGGCTAGAGCAAGGGCCTAGAGTTGAGGCGTGCGGTAAAACATGAGGAAGAAGTGGTACGGATGTGGACTAATTGCTTTTGCAACTCTCTCTATCACTTTGCTGGTAGGACCTCATCTGCGCAGTTTACCTTTTGAGACTGAAGATTCGGCATCAAATGAGCCCCAAAGCGAAGTTTTCTTTTCTGCAGCAAAGGTAACATACTCATCGGCAAGTGTCCGCTGTCCGCAAAGTGCACCGAACTTCAGCGCCGAACAGGAAGGCAGAATTCTTGAGGAAACAAGTCCCCTGACAAAGCCCGACGAAAGCAAGACGACAAATTTAGCAAAAAGTCGCCCAAATCTGACCAAGGACGAAAGCAAGGCAACAAATTCTGCAACAAGTTTTCTCCCAAGAAGTACCACCACCACCAGTACTACAATTCCGGCTAGAATGAATACCAGTCTCCAACATAGTGTTACCAAACATTCAGGACGAATAAAGGCTCCTCAGAATTGTAAGCAGAAGAACTGTCAGGAAAATTTGTCTAAGGGTGATGAACATGCACTGAAATCATGTGAAAACCAAATGAGGAAGGGTTACAAGGGGTCGATCAGCGAGAGTGACTGCAAGTTCCTGTCCAACAATAGCCGTCGTGCTGTTGCATTGGCCAGTGCACCTGGCGCTGGAAATACGTGGACCAGAGGTCTACTTGAGAAGGCCTCAGGCATTTGCACGGGATACCTATTCTGTGACACAGCCATGAGAGCTCATGGGTACGTTGGAGAGAACGTCAAGACCGGGAGAGTGCTGGTGGTTAAGACACACTCAATTGTACCTCGCTGGGAAAGGGAGAAAAATTTCTACTACCTATCATCAGAAGCCACCTATGAAGCGGCTGTGTTTATTCTTCGCAACCCTGTCGAATCTGCAGTAGCAGAGTGGAACAGGTACTCATCAATGATTGTTGGACAAAAGGATTCATCAATAGCCAAACATGTGCACACGTCCACTCTTCCTAAAGAGTCCTTTGGTGAGTAGTTTGTGTCATGTTCAGTTGAATACACGACAGTCCTTTCACGCATTGTACACTCAATTTGTACTGATGCATATATACAGCCGGTCTACTCTGTAACATATATAACGCCTTTACTTTTCTCAATGTTCCTGTAGATGAAAATAAATGGGATATGTTCCTACGCCAGTACATGAGGCACTGGAGCAGTCGCCTGCTACAGTGGATAATCTACCAGGACAAACACCCGATTCACATCTTGCGATATGAAGATCTCAAGCAGGACACTGTAGGGGAAATTGAAAAGACCCTTGATTTTCTGGACGTTTCGTATGATCCAGAGACAGTGAGAAAGAAACTAAATTTGGACTACGCTGACTTCAAGCGACCGCATGATAGAAATGATTATGAACATTATTCTGTGGAGCAGAAAGAGTTTGTTAAGTCAGTGCTTCTGGACGTAAATGATTCTGCAAAGAGAGCAAAAAAGGCACATCTTCTCCGACTTGATGAATATATGGCTGCATTATAGTTCTGCCAATCTCAAGCAAGCATTTTCATTATGGTGTAATCTGGCTTACTATGAATTACGTAAGCGCACGGCCCGCTTAGCAACGCAGCCGCCAACAATTTTAAATATGAATATTCATGAACTACTTTGACTTCCCGTTCCGGGTTTTTGGAACGCGCAGGGGGGCCGGTTAGAACGCGGGGGTCCTCCACGTGGCTTCTCTCTCGTTTTTGTCCGGAGGCTTTACCACGGAGGACGAGCAAGTTACGGACAAGTTCACCACGATCCTCGAGTTTCAATGACTCACACAGCCGGGAAGTTTTCGCCGTGTGGTAACTTTTTTGGACGTTACTCTCCGTTGCTTCAGTATTGTAAAGCACGGGGCTGGACCTTTGTGCGGACGAAGAGGTGGCGCCGCTTCCTAGATCGGGGATAGAGAGGTATGTTGTACGAGTGTATTATGTAGCGGGTTGAGGCCCTGAGAGGGAGGGTGCTTGTCACAGTGTATTTCTTTCCTGAGAAAGAGACATGATGGTGATGTAGCTGACTCAGGAACCAGTTCGTGAGTTGTGTCACACGGTGTACAGTGGAGGGTGTGGGCCGACTTGGCTTCGCGCCGCAGGCACTGAGCACATATGTGATGACCACATGGAAATACCAGTGGTTGATGGAGAAGGTGTGCCCCTGCCATGCAAAGTCCAATCTGTTGTTCACTGTCTGCTGGCTCTAGGATGGGAGATGTAGTTGTAGGTGGCGGAGCAACTTTGCTGATGTGGTCGAGGAAAGAGGACGCATTCACTGGCCGCCCACCTCTCCTTGTCGTTTCGAAGTGGGTCGCATACCTAATTTGTGTTTTTTTAGCAGATTACAGATTGTTGCACACTGCAGCTCTCTGTTTGATGTACCATCCACTGAAAGGGCCTGACTGATGGTGTGCGGTGCTTACTGATGGTATCGTAGCATGAGTGAATGTTGGATGTGTGCTATGGTCATCTTCCTCCACAGAGATGCCAAACACTGACTGGAGACCTTCCTTCTGTGAGAGGCAGGTGTACTGTCGAGTGGCCCTTCCAGATCTGGCTCTCTTGGCTCTTCCTCCACACACACGACAGTGGAGATCGAGCTGTTTCTTGTGTATTATGTACATATTTTGTACTGGCTTTTCCCCTGCTATTTGGAGTGGCGCCACTAAACGCTTTTGTTTTCACAACTGTTTTGCGCTTATGCAAGCCGTTTCTAGTGTAGTATATACTGCGCAGGAAAACTTACAGGGCTTCAGTGTGACTGACCAAACTATGCGGTTCTTTGAACTCCTTTTGCGGTATGGTAAGATAACAGCTGCTCAGTTGCGGAGGACGTGTGGTGGCTCTGCGCACATCACTGTATTGTGTATATAGTATAGTAAGGAATGTGCCAGTAACTACTTCCTTTAGTGGATCTCCTGGAAGGAGGTGGTGTAAACGATCGCTGGGAAACCGGCTTCAACCGGACGGATACTCATGAATAATTAATTAG